GAAGAGATTCCCTGTTGGGGTTGCCCGTCACTGAATGGGGGCGCCTCCAAATGGAGGATACCTCCCTCCTCGGGTGGCGTCGTCGCGTCGGGGGTGCTGGGCGTGTGAAGGGTGATTCGGATGCATGGGAAATGGTGCAAGGTCTGCTGATGCATTGGGACGGCAAATCCCAGCGACATCGGCTGGTGGTCCCTTCTGGGTTGCGAGGCAAGGTGGTGTGGGCCGCGCATGAGCGCCTATTACACCTGGGGACCCAAAAGACTCTTGCACTGCTACAACTTGATTTTTTTTGGCCTGGCATGACGAGGGATGTTGGGGATCTATTGGGATCATGCCCTCGGTGTGCGCAACGGAAACCGCCGGCGCGGGAGTCTAACCCGCCCTTGCAATCGATCAAAGTGTCCAGAATAAATGAGCTTGTCGCGCTGGACATTTTGGGCCCATTTCCTGCCACCCCCAGGGGCAATAGGTATTTGTTGACTGGTGTCGAGTATTTTACACGCTGGCCTATGGCCTGGCCCCTGGCCAACCAGTCGGCAGCAGCCATCGTGGAGGCCTTTGTTCAGGGATACGTCCTGGACAAAGGTGCTCCGGAGCGGCTGCTGACCGACCAGGGCAGAAATTTTTCCGGTAAATTACTCAAACAAGTCTGTGACCTCCTAGGCACGAAGAAAATTCATACCTCCCCGTATCACCCGCAAACTGACGGGATGGTCGAGCGCCTGCATCGCACCATTACGTCAATGATGTCACAGCAGGTCTCGGACTCACAGACTGACTGGGACCTGCATATTCAAGGGGTCTTGGCGGCATACCGGATGGCACCCCATGCAGCTACGGGATTTTCCCCCTTTTACCTCATGTACGGTCGCGAACCCGACCCGCCTGTTCGCGCCCAGCTGCAGATCCCCGAGCCGCAAGGGAAAACTAAATTGGCTGACCACGTCAAATTTAATCTGGCCAAATTAACAGAGGCGCGGGATGCTGCAATGCTAAACTCGGACCTCCGTCAAAAGGCGAATGAGCGCCTCAGGCTGGGTCGGGCGCACATGATACAGTGGAAGCCGGGGGACAAGGCATGGCTGCACTGTCCCCAAGTGCCACTGGCTACCTCCTCTAAGCTGGTGCGGCCGTGGCGGGGCCCTGTGGAGGTGGTCGAAGTTTTGCGACCACAGTGCGTGCGCATTAAATGGGGGAAGCGGCGATGGTTCGTGCACCCCTCTAGGTTAAAACCCTTCGTTGCGGTACACAAACCCACTTCACACATGCGTGGCCAAACGTGTGGGGGGTCGACCGACTCATTGGGTCCGTCTCCGTCGTTCTCACCTAATGCCTTGCCGGCCGTGCCACCTCCAGGTGCATCAGGACTGACGGGCTCACGCCCGACCACCCCTCCTGGGGATACCGACGGTCGCGCGGCATCGGATGAGGACTCACTCCGGGACGGACAATTGCCACCTGACGGTCCGCCACCCGGGGTTACCCCGTGTGAGGGGCCCGCTGCAAGGACGCGCGCAAAAATGCGCAGACTGTTATGAGGCCGGAAGATGTGTACATAGGTTGTGTTCATTGTGTGTTGTGTGGGTGGTGTGTTCCCTGCCCATTGAAATGTACATACGTTGGGTTCACCTGGTGTTGTGTGTATGGTGGGTTCCCTGCAAATTGTATATAGGTTGTTTTTTTTACGGAATTCGTATTTATTCAAGGGGGGGTGCGTCGGGTTGTTTTCTCTTCTTGCTGTTGCATTTTGTTGTGTTCTTGTTGCTGTTCTTGTTATTGTTGAAAAATAGTGAGGCACACGCGCGGTCAAGGTGTAAATGCACTTTTATTGTCATTTTTGTATGTTGGCAGCCGGGACGGCTGCAAGCTATGCGGGGGGGGGGGGGGGGGTGATGTAGGGGTGTTAAAGAGAGGGCCCGTTATGCATGGCAGCCTATGGAAAACAAACACAGTGGGCGGGGCTACGTAAGTGCACGAGGAGGTGCCCTCTACGACGTCCGAGCCAGACACCCTGGGGGGGGGCTGGTTCGAACGTTATGATCCCCCGGGGCCCCACCCCTCAGGGAGGGGTTGGGTATAAAAGGGGATGTTCAAAGGGCTCGAGTCAGTTATGTTTAAGCTAAGGGAAGTAGACTGAAGACGTCTTAGATAGAGCCCTGGACTCCCCTAGTTCGATGTCCTTTTCAGGGCCGGACAGGACTGAGCCAGCGGCGTGGTCCCGAAAGCCAGAGCCGGTGCTCTTGTAAGAGCTGGTCTGGAACTCCGGGTACCGGGCCCGACTTACCAGTGTCGGGCCAGTTAGCCTCCCCTAGCCCATTAGTGGAGGATTCGGGGCTAGGACAGAGTTAGCTAGGGGTGTATCCCGAGTTATACGGGTGAGGGGGCCGATACCCCCTCGAGTGTGTATATGCCCACTGTCGTATTGTGAAATAAATATACGTGTGCCTCAACCTCGGCGTCAAGCGTCTTCACCGGTACTTCACTTGCATCAGCGTGTCAATATTAATTGGTTGTTTGGCCTCGGTTGTGGGAATATATATATCATGGCCCAAATATCCGAATATTAACAAGAGAAATGCGTATTGCTGTACGGTATTTGTATTTTGAGTACATTTGCAGCAGTCTGACAATCCGCTACTGGATGAGTATTCTCTCCACCAGGTGGTTCGTGAGGATTATTTGGTCATACTTCAGACAGTCAGTCTCCAATACTTCAGTCTGAGTCAGTCTGAAGTATTGGAGGCACAGCAGACGTTACGATGTTGTACCATACAACAATACGTAATATAACAGTCATTGTCATCGTTGTATAGAATATAAGTAACAATGGTAAGCAATTATCAAAAATATATATCATAGACTTGTCTGCTACGTCGTCATGTTGTCGTTTTTAGGATTGAATCTTATCTAATGACCGTGTTTCTAAAATGTCATCGGTAGTATGCACTTATTGAACAATTTCTTTAGGCTCGTTGAAAAGTGCTCAAATACGCGATGTATAGGTGCATGTTTTGAATTGCTTTTTGGGAAAGCAAGAGGAACACGTAAATTAGAGGACATAAGACGGTTAAAGGTGTCGTTATGTAAAGTCTCAATTTGAGCATGACATGTCGGATGGTGGCCGGTCAAGAAAAGTAACTCATCCTAGAGGACATCCACTTAGGAGATTGAGTGAAGAAATCGGCACATGTGCAGGTGGAAGCAATGTTAATTTTTCATCGCAGAATCCTCGTGGGAGATATTGCATGGGTGAGATGTTAACTATCTCGCTAGGTAGACAGGAGGTCGTGGGTTCGATCCGACCCTAACGCCGATATATTTGGAATTCGCATGGATTTTTCTCTGGATCTTCCGGTTTTCCCCTCCACATTTTAGCAACATGCGTTTAATTTATAATCTGTAAATAATTATTTACATTATTTGGCTGCTATAAATTTCCACGTGAAAAGCCACTTCGTTGCGTTATTGTTTGTGGCCAGGTCGCCTCTGCAAAATAGCTACACAGCCTTAGCTAGTAAAATAAAAAATTAGTCGGGCAAAACCTTCGTCCGGGAATGTATATTTTAAACGTTAGCTCCTTTGCTAAGACCAAGTGGCCGCATGCGAATAACAGTATTTGTAAAACAACAACGAGATATATTTGAACAATCGTATACTTGGTTAATAACAGCTGCATCTGCTAACTCTTGCCAGCCACGGTAGTTTATGCAATGAATGATTAATGAACGGAATGGTGCGGGGGTGAGTGGGACGGGAGACACTCGCTGGAAACAAAACGCCACCGCCACGTGGCGTCTGCGTTGGGCAAACCAACGTGGGACCCCCCGTGGTGCCAAAGTAGAGAGATAGAGAGAGAGAAACATCTACCATCACCGGGCGTGGTGCTGACCACCCACCCCCTCGTGTGCCGTGCCGGCCTTCATAGGTGCTCGCTAACAGCACTTGCCCCCTACAGTCTCACAGGCTACACGGGGGATCTTTGTCTTTAGCTTGTGTGTGGTGGTAAGGGGGGCGGGGCAGCGATTGCGTAATCGAACCCGGCGGCCCGAGTTCGATTCCCGCTCACGGCCGGTGACGATTATTTGAACCGGTCCTGGGCCCTCCCCTAGGTCGACTCAGCCTCAAACGAGTAACTGTTGTGGCGTGTGAACATCGCCACTGGGGAGACAAAGGCGGCCGTGCGTGGTGAATCCAAGTCCTGGGCGAAGCCGGGTAGTTAAGTCTCGTTAAAAATAAAACCAGGCAGGACAATTGGATGTTGGTTCAAGTTCATTGATTAGGTATAGCCCTGTGAGCCATTCGGCTCTTGAATCGGGTGCAACCGCAACAAACAAAAAACAAAAACATGAACAAGAAAACATCTTAAAGTAATTATGTGACTATGTGCAAACAGAAAAGCCAAGAAAAAACAGCAAAATATTGCAGAAAACCCACCGTACATCAACGCTGTGCAAAAATCCCAGTGGGATGCAAGTCAAATAACAACTAATTCTAGATTTGAAGCTTACCTACGTGACTTTACCGATAAAACCTAAGAGTAACAACAACAACCACAAGACAACTTAGATTAAGGCCATCAGTCTAACTCTGTACTACCACAAACAAACATGGCCAAACCAAAAAACTTTTCGAAATCACCAAAATAAAGCCATGAAAGCAAATGTAACAGTGATCATAGGAACTGTGACGGAATGTTCACAATAAACGACATAAACAACATGTACCACCAAAATACCCTGCAGCCATAGCTGGCTGTAATATGCGATAAGATTAATATAATTCCGCAGTGTGATTGTATATTTAAAACATCTCTGTGCCTTTTAAACCAGGTGAGGGCATCATTCCTTAGCCGGTCAACGTGTCCTGTGATGTAATATTACGCTGATGCGGCTCTTAAACCCGACGACTGCGTTCAAATCCATCTCGAGTCGCTGTCAAGCTTGGGTATGTAAAGACGAGTAGTTGCAGTGACTTGTCTTTGAGAGAACTTCACGTGTTTATTTGATTTTATTTAATTTTAAACAAAACACGATTTTATTTGAGAGTGCTTTGCTGTGTCGTGCTGTGCATCAAGGGGGGTGGGGCGAGGCACAAATAATCAAACCTTGTAAGTTTAATGCCGTGTCGGACGTGTAAATAAACATTCGATAATTGATGTTTTGTTTAACAATAAAACAGCAATTTGAAGGTATTAAAAAGGCCGCGTGTGGGTGAAGGGAAACGCAAATTAATACGTTGACGACCCACGACTTGAGTTTGTCGGGAGCCTTCGATTTTCCTAGGAGACCGAACCGGCGAAACGCCACCGGTTTCGGTAGCGGAACTAGGCGAGGAGGGGTCAAGTCCCGACGTTGTGTTGTAGGCCCTTGCAGTTGAAGGCCCCCCCAATAAAAATGTTTAAGGTTAATCTCATGCTTTGCCGTGTTTAAAAATATATATATCTCCACGATGACTTACGCGTCATTCACATACCTATCGATCCATACGGTTTACCACGTATTCTTGTACAGATAAATTTAGCTAGCTCCATACGGCGTAAAGACGTTTCAATACGGGCAACATTTTGTATTGTCTATTTGTGTTTCTCCTTTGTGATGGGGCTTTGTAGGATAAACGTTGCGATTTATAAGGGCACGGGGTGGCCAGTAAGGTCTGAATTGATCTGTAATAAGGTAGGGCACTGATAAGGTTCGCATTTAACCATCATGTTTAATACTCCTGCATTGGATGTATGTTTAACTTCGTTCGCACCGTACGTAGCCAACCGTGCTACGATTGTTGGGTATTTCATTACTTACACGATATATTTGCAATGCTGTCTGGTAATTTATGTGCTTTTAACAAGGGCCATTGCCTGAAACGTCGCCGATTATACGTCCCCTCTGAAGGCGGTGTTATTGATGAACGTTGGAGTTTTTGGTGTTTGTGGAAATTGGTTCTTTACAAATATTGTTTTCAAATACGGCGTGTACATAAATGCAGTCGGCATAAGGTATGATTGACAAAACATTCGGAAAAATAATCCCTTAAAACTGTAAACCAAATGCCCATTGATCGAGTCAAAGACACGATGTCTTCTATGGAAAGGGTATTTTGCATAAACAGAGTATATAGCAAGAGTATAGCAAGAGTATTGTTTTATATTAATATTATTTTATTATTTCCCTTTTACGTGACTTTACCGAAAGAACCAAGAATAAGAGTATATCACGTTATGTATTAGCTTAAAACTGCACCTACCAGCGTTAATCATTCCCCAAGGCCGACACAACTTGGGGATGCCTTCATCCAGCAGTCGATTTAGAAAGGGCTGTAATTCATCATTGTTATTCCTAAATATTTGTTTACAGTGTTACCATGACCATCAACCCTCCAGAGATAATTTTGTGTTTTCTTGCTATGCACTGCAAAATATTAATCTTGTACCGCTTCGCTGCACGAATTAAGTGCTGTTGTGGTTATCTGCAGTGTGTCATTGTAATGATCCTGATTTGTGTTTAGTATTGCATTATATTATTTATGGTCTTTATTTTTACGTCCTGATACGTGTTTTCTTGGTCCCATGCATTAAGGTGAGGGATGGGGGATGCCTTTTAAACGCATTTTTTTCACCAATAATAAATATACAAACCAAGTGGAATTCCACGTAAGGTGTTTAATGCAACCAGCCTCAATTGCATATTACAGAAGGCTGATATGGGGGGGGGGGGGGGGAAATCACTGTGTTGTTTAAAAAACATCATATGACAATTTGTTTTTCGCTTTTTCCTTTCATGTTACAGGCGGTTTCATCATAAATTCCAGTGCTGAGATCTTCACAAAATTCCTTTGAAATGCCCATTCAAAGAACCTTCATCAAATGGAGTCAGCCTTTTTATTTCAACCTCCTTGGACACTATGCCGAATGGTCAGCATTTTGCTGTATTTAACAGAACTTTCAAAATGAAATTTTGCCACTGTGTACTGGAGGTGTGAGTTATACTCATTACCCTCCTGAAACTTATTTTCTGGATTTAAAATGCTAATGATTTTGTTTTTCAACTCATTGATTTGAACATATTACAGGCAATTGCAAAGCCAAATAAAATTTTGTAAATCTAAAATATGCTATATATTTATTTGTTGAAATATTTCGCTGATTTTATTATCCCATAATTGAATTGAGACAAAAATAGTAAAAATATTATATAACTCTGACTTTGTAAGCTGTTATTGAACAAGCTACTTTACTAAAATAGCTAGAAAATAAAGTTTGAAATGGAAGCCCAAGACAAGAAAAATGTGGAATCCAAAATTAAGTCATCAAAGGGCAAAAAAGGACGTTTAGAACAAATCAAGGCTATCCAACCTGCTGACGACATAAATCAGAATGATGTTCAGAAAAGCGTCCTGTCTGTGGAAGCACCTGTTGGTACGGAGGACTCTGGCATGGCTTTAAAGGCCTCCCAGTATCAGGTCGATGTAAAAAGAGGACCTGACGACCTCCTTAACAACAACAGTAGCAGCACCATGAGCTTTCCAATCGACAGTGTGGTGCTTGGGTTTGATGCCGTAGAAGATGATGGCAGTGATAGCATGAAGATGGAGGATGAGGAGGAAGAGTCTGGGTTGGCCAGCATTAGTGCCAGCAGCCACAGCCTGGCAAGCATTTGTAGCAGCGCAGACGTGGAGGCCCTGCTTGCGGAGGCGGCCAGCGAGTGCTCGCCTGAAGCTCCTGCAAGCGACGCCACGTCTCGTGCGAACGGTGACCCTGTCGCTGGTGGCGATGGTGCTACTACCTCCGTTGGGCCAGTGGCTGCGAGCGCTGATCTCTCAGGTTAGATCACCTAAACATGTAATTGATGGAAGTGAATTGTGATTATTACATGAAATGTATGTGTATTGTATGTATGCGTAATCACTGCATTGGCTAGGTGGTGCTTTAGTTTAAGTGCTCCAATTAATTTAGAAATGTGTGTTTCAACTTGATTGGGGGTTCACTAAGTCCACAATTTATCGGTGGTCAATTAAACACCACGTTGTAGAATAATTGTGTTGCGGATGGACTATAAGCTTACGTGGAATGTGTAGTTGTGCTTTTTTATTAGCTATATTGCAGATATAGATTTGTAATGAAACCTCTGTGCTGTGGTTTCAATCTTGGCTCTTTGCTGTTTTCATTATACCTTCTATCACTTGGCAAAATTATGTCCAGTTTTAATTTTGTCCACAAATTTTTTCAGACCACACTTAGCTGTATATTGCTATAGACTCCTATGAACACAACCGCACTGTCCACTGCTCTTCTTTCTTGCCACGATCTCATCTGCATTAGTTTTAACGTTATCAAGGTAAATGTTGACACATCCGAGATATTCCTTACAGGAAAAACGGTCATAATTGTCAAAAAAATCCAGTTTCAGCGTGCACCTACCAAATTCCTAAACTCTAACCTGCAAAGAGTGTGCAGAAACTTAAAGTTGTCATTGATCCTGAGCTCCTGATTTCTTCCCACATATCTCAAATCTGGAGGATCTCATATCTTCATCTGCACAACATGTCCTGCATTCACCATTTCCTTATTCCAGCTACATCTGAGACCCTGAATCAATTACACTAACTTCACCCTCCCCAAGTCCTCATTTATAAATTCCCAATTATTTAAAATGCTGCAGCCATGCTCCGGTTCAAAATCCAAACTGGCTCCAAATCCAAATACAAAGATGCATACATTTCAAAATCACACTTCTCCGTCGTAAAAAGGTTCCATGGACTTGTCCCTGCTTACCTCTTCTATTTGACCTTCGTCGTATCCTCCACCTACTCTCTGCTCCAGCAAGCAAGACCTGTCAAAGCCTCCCCGGTCATACTTTTTTCAATGGGACGTTGATCTTCTCTGCTGCCCCCATAGTCTGGAACTTAATTTCCTTCAGCCATCTGTGCTCTTCATTCCTTGCCCTTATTTTCCTCGTCCTAAAAAAAATATCTTTGAAATAAATAAAAGTTCCTCCTCTTGTATCTCCTTAACCCCGATTTGGAATTGATCTCCACAGTATCTTGAGATATGCTTATATTTTGATTATATGAAGCTAAATTGTATTCTAATGCACACTCACGTGTACTGTTTGTATTGACACATAAGGGAGGGTATTCCATTGCGGCTCTTTAGAGACCAGAAGCGAAAAGAGTTGCAATAGATAAATAATCTGTTTCCAACTTAAAAATGAAAAGCACAGCTTTGTTAAGAAGACCTTGGCTTTTATGAATATGTACTCTAACCCTTTATAATATCGGTTAATAAAAGAAATGATTATCGGTAATTAAAGTACTTATAAGTGTTTATGGGTGTGGGTTAGGAGTGTGAAGGTGTTGTTTTTTTAAGGTACAGTCAAGATTGTTGACTAGCCAGTTTTTATAACTCCGTGTTCATCCTTTGTGTAAATCTTTTATTCAACATAAGTTAGTTGCTGTCACGAACTCTTTTTGACCACTTTAGATGAGTGAAGCGTATACATTATTCATGAATCACGCTTTCCGAATGCTCTGCATACATTATGTAAATATTAAATAGCATAGCGTGCGAGCCTCACTTTGTTCAGGTTATTCTCTTCACCTATGAAACCTTTTGTCTCTCTCGTTATCAGGCGCAGCAGTAGCTGGTGGACAACCAAGGCTCGACAACAAAGACTTAAGTTCCAGTGGAAAGGCCCAGCGTGATGATAAAGTAGACGGCAATGTGGAGGCGGCGGCCACGCATCGAGGAAGTGAGATGGAGGGGTGTGGGGTGTCGGCACAGGAGGACACAGGCGGCGCCCTGCAGTGTTTGCTCACTGGACTGAGAGGGGTGACGCAGTCTGCTGCCGACAATTTTGCTCTTCCGCAACGCGTCCACCAGGTAACTCAAGTGCGAAGAAAAACCTTCACATTTGACCCTTGAACTCGTTTTGGCAGAGCAGACGGATCGCTTGGCAAGCAGGCTGCCCATTTGAGCACTGTTGTTTGTTCCACATATAAATCAATAATAGATTTCTTTCTGTAAATTTGAAATGGTTCACAAGATGCATTATTAGTTGAGGCTTTTATTAGCAATGCGTAAATAATTGCTTTATGCGGTTTGGTTAACTGTTCTAGACAAAATGTATTTTTGTGTCCAATGAACAGCACTATTTTGTGCTGTTTATAAGTTACAATTTTAAAACTTTGCACTCACATGATGGTGTATTGATTGTTGTGTTCAGTGTATGGAACATGGTTCAGTTCAGATTAGCATCAAAGCTCTGAGTCACACTTTATGGATTCTGTCCTAAGTTCAGCAGAGGCAAGCTTCTCAACTGTGATTATGTTAGTCTAAACAAGTTGTTGACCAGGTGCCACTAACGTTTTCTTGCAGATCGCTGAAGTTTATGCCCAGAAGCAAGAGTGTATCCTTTATTCGCCATCCTCACTCTACGAAACATTTCCATTCAAGCCATTGTTGGCTTGCCACACTTTGCAGCACATTGAACTCCGTCATCATGTTGACACTCTCCTGCATGTTATGCGGCTAACTGTAGAAGGGCATGACTCTAATAACGGCAAGCCTGTGCAAGCACACAGGCTAAGCATAAAGAAAATAAGCCTCAGGTCAAATGTGCTTATCTCTTGATACGAACATTATGAAATGGAAAGCATATTCAGTGTGCAAAATTCCGGTCTTGTGCCTTATTTATTTTAATTTGCTAAGCGTTAATGCAGCTAGCAGTAATCTTGCTTATGTTGCAAAGAATTACAAATGAATCCTGCTAGAGTAGGAAAATGGACAGAAATGTGAAAACTGTCATGTTTACAGCACATAAGCCAAGACATTAACCATGTATACCTCGGGATGAGTGTGGTTTGATAAAGGTTAGGGCAGTAATTTATTAGTTCTAGTTGAATTTGTATTTATCTTTTACTCTAATTTGATCCAAATTGCATGTCATGAGAAAGCTAATTCATTTGGAGCTCTCAGAGCAGTGCATCGCCCCATGGTAGAGAACGATCCACGGAATGTGATATTACAGAACTACTTCTGAAGTCTCAGTGACCTTTTGTCCATACCAGGGGTCAGAACTTTCTCACCCGCCATACTATCGTAGAGTATTTTTTTCCGCATGGCACTCAAACTGTTCAAAACCAAATGTTACGTGTTTTTTTGTGTATGTGTGTGTGCAATCGTTGGTTACTAAATTGAGAACATCAACTTCATTTGAGAACCCAGTTTAATTACAGGCAACTGTCTAGATTAAAACCCAGGATCTTATCAGTGCTACCTCTGCATTCTGACTATTGAACCACCTGGCAACGTTTGGGTTAATAAAATATAATACATGCAGCCACCGTCTCTCATAAATATCAACTCCGAACACAATTTACAGAAGTACAGCATTTCATATCCTGCAAACGTATCACTTCATTATTTTAATTGACCACTTTTTTTTGGCATTTTCAATTGCACGCTTACCTCCAGATGACTCGCTCCCCTTGAGATTCGATAGAATTTCACGATTTTATGAAAAAAATGTTTTTATCATAGTCATACATTATAATGGTTTACACCATTGGAACCTCATTTGCCAGTAACAACATATGATAATTGTTTTTTTACTGTCAGTTTTGTTGCCAGATAAAAGGGTAAAAAAACAATTATCATTATAATGGTTCTGGAGGCTGCAGGGGTCATGAGTCTTAATTACAACCAAGTAGAAAATAATATATTCTCATGTGATGGGATATTTTTTTCATTAGAATGAGAATCGATTTTAATCACTGAATCTGTGCATCGTTACACCCCGTTACTATGTCCATAGTCGGTATTTTTCACCGGTGTTTGAAAATTCTGCTTTCTCGAGTCTTCGTTTGACGGCTAATTACAGTAGCGACAACATTAACATGAAGAAGCTCCAAAAATGGTCCAGTGCCGCTCCCTGTCTAAAAAGTATGAGGGCAAAATGTGTGTTTTGGCAGGACTAAGCATGACCGTTTGGCTGACTCGGCACACTGTAGTCATCCAAGCTCACGATATCCTTTCCTCTCCGCTTGTGCCAGATTGAGAGCAGCGTGGGCTTGGTTCACAAAATGAAAAGTCGGGCAGAGGGACATTAAGCACTACAGGAGAACACATTCTAATTCATTTTTCTTGGTATTTTGGTCTTTGAGTACCTTACAACCTTTGTTTGAATTGTTCGTAAAATGCTAGACAGTTTGAGATTTAAAGCCTCTGTGAATACATTCTATTTTGGGACATTTTGCAGATTGTAAGTAGGCGAAGGTAGGAAGGTCAGAAAAATATGGGGGGGTGGTGATGGTGGAGAGTTTACATGGGGGAAGGAAAAACAAAATGTAATGCATAAATAATTATTCACTTTCGTGATGGAGAGTAATACGTTTTGTTTACATGCACATTTGGAATTGGGCTGGCCCAGTTCACCCATTGGAAGAGTAAACTTAGCTCGGATTCCCATGGCAGTCTGCCTGTCAAATGTAGCCTGCATTATTTGAGCGGATCAGCTCATTTTGTGAAGGGAGTTGTCCACTTTCAACTTGGCCACTCTTGGAAAATGCTTGTGACTTAATGGGGTCAGTGCAGAAGAGGTGCACGCCGATATAATGGCATCTCTTGCAGAGGTCTACTCTGGCACTTGTATTTAGTTTTTAAAATCAAGGCAGAAAATTACAACAAAAATAGATATTACGTAAAATAAACATGGCGGGGTGGTGTTCAAAATGTACAACAACTTAGAATTGCTTCCCTCTGACCGCAGAGGGAAGGGAGGGGTACATAGTGGGAGTGGACAGAGTGGACAGCCTGCACCTACAGAGCAACACGTTGCAACATGACCGGAGTTGTGTCGAGTTATTCCAGGATCAGCAATGCATGGGTTGGGTCAGCTATTGAATGGTGCGGAGGAAAGACTGCTTCAGCCTCAATTTCAACAAGGGGAGGGATTCAACGATGAGAATGGCGAGAGGAGGATGTTATAAACAGTGGCAGCATGGCAGGAAGGAGAAGAGCAACCTCAAGTGACAGTTCAAGTTGGGGGTATAGAGACAATTATATGGATTATTTAACAGAGGGCATGGAGAGGAGGTGGGATATGAGATGAGGTTGGAGACTGAGGCAGGGGTAAGAAAATACAGAGTCTATAAAACTGAAGGAATTTTCTAATTGACCTCTGATTGGATTAAAATTCCAGTGGAGGAATCTTTCCAGTTTATGCATTGTGTAACGTAGGTAACACTGCTCACCTGCCACGCTCATTAAATTTTTTAAAAATGTCATGTTAGTGCATGGGGGAAAGTGCAGTGCCCCTAGTGTGGGTAAAATATCACTGTTAGGGATCTCAGAAGTAGTTATGTGATATCACCTTCCATGGGTTGTTCTCTAACACAAGGTCAAAATCTTTATTTATCCAGCTATGAAGCTATATATTTCACAGATGTCCATCAATGAATGTACTGTTCTGTGAGTTCTGAACAAATAGTTTCGTGACATGGAATAAATCACACAATTTAATAAACTTGGAGAGAAAAAAAGACAATAAAAATGTATATGTTTGCTTTGCTGCCATCACATATGTTATTTGGTTTGTCTTTTAAAAGAAAGTAGTAAACAACTTGACCATTGATATTTCTGGGTGCTCGTTTGCATATTTGTAAAGTTAAGCAGATATGCAGTGATTCACCAAATCCACGATTCTACAAACTGTCTTGAAATTGGGTTACGATCTTACTCTAGATTTGATTTTTTAAGTTTCATTTTCTGCTTCATTTATATTCCCTGTCTTGTATGTTGTCTTTTACTCTTTCATTTTGCTATTCTAAACAGTAACATTTGCAAACAATGTTTATTTAACGTGTACTTTTAAGCACACGATTATATGCATGTATCACACGTGTAAGAAATTAAGTTTTATCTCTAAAACAATCGTTACATTCCACTTAAGCCAGGACATATCTGACACCTAATTTATTGAGCGGTTATGCTAAAATGTGAGGTCACATGACAGATGGTACCTTCTCAATAATCAGGAGATAAATTATAAAAATAGCATTGCATATTCTCAAATGCATTATTACTCATGCTCGGAAATTCCAGGCCATTAAGTCAATTGCAGTTTATATGTTTTTAAATGCCTAAAATTAACAGAATCAACTCTACATTGATTATAAAAGCAATTAGAAAATAACACTACCCGGGAACAAAAATATTTTTAAAAATGTTACAGTGTTATCACTGCATATGCAGTGGATTCAACATAGAATTAAATCACTGGCAAGATATGTTATGGACAAGCGAGTAAAGCAAACATTTTTGTAATTAATAGATAATAGTTCAAATAAAGCAATTCTCAAATGGGATGTATTTTATTTATCCGGTATTGGTGAATTACTCAAGGCATTATCAACAGAACCATTAACAAGTCCTAGTACCGCCGAGTAATTATGTAGCATGATGTTGGTTTTCTGTGCGCAAGTTTTTGGGTCGACCTGCTGATCTCTGAACACACGGTCACACGAGCCCACATTGTTCTGCAACAGGGTCCCCACCCTCACCCCCGCCCCCACCACAAGCTGTGTCCTTGACCGTTGCTGCGATCAGACGACGAGGCCATTCGATTCATTGAGGCGGAACGTCTGTGGCTGCAGCGTGCGCTGCAAGGGCTGACCACCACGCTCCAATGCTGGGGTAACGAGCGCATCCGACCACCCGCCCTCCCTCGCAAACAATATTGAAACCGTGCCAGTAGCCCACTCTGTAACCCCGATCGTTTGAAATTGCCAATGACTATAAAAATAGCGGTACTCCTGTTGTTATTGCTACTACTACTTCTACGGATACCTTTAAAACCTCTATCGCAACTGCAGTATTGTACTACAATACCCGCTTTTGAAAAACAAAAAAACATTCCTACTGCAAATCCCACTTATGCGATCACCGCTACTATTACCACCAAATACTGCCATGGTTTAACGGTTCGCATACCGTGCGATTGAGTAGAGTGTGAGTACTGCCAACAATTCCAAAGTATCTTGCTAGCATGGAAGAGTAGGCCAAATAACCTTATGTACAGCTTCCTCTCATGGAGCCCCTTCCACTAGCAGTGGTGTGAGCAAGCAGTTGCAGGGCTGTACCTTTACCGTCTACTCGTAACATCCACTTATAACGCTCGTGTCACTTTTACAGTTACCTCTTTCATCAATTATGCCAGTACTACCACTGTGACACTTCCTGGTATTATTGCTGCTGCTGCTAAAACTTCTACCGATACAAGTAATATAGTCCACCCTGCCTTGTTTTCCCGTCAAATCTATTATCCATTGCCATAATCAATATTTTAAAAATAAATTTATCCGCAGATGTATTCTTCATATTGTCCGCATCTTTTTATGGATAAAAAAGGGTCAAGCCGAGGTGGCGGGAACTTCATCCTATCGCTGCTGTTGCCTTGCACATAAGTCACACAGGAGTGTCTACAGGAAGCACTAACTGCATTCTGCTATCCACTTTATTTGTGGACAAGAATCCCCCGAAAATGGTGACAGATTCATCCAGTTGTCTGCATTTAATTTACTGGATAGCAATCAATCCGAAGTAGTCTCCTGGCAGTACTGCATGTATCCGATTGTCCATGTCTTTTAACAAATAAGAGGAAGAATTATCTGAAAGGCACATCAAATTCAACTGTGTTTTATATATTAATAATATTCCCTCAAACGTGGTGTTGCATTTTTGCATGAATAGGGGTAGATAATAGTATCTGCTAATTGTGCCTCCCATGTTTACACGGATAAGAGAAGTTTCACTGGTGTAATATTACATGTTGGCTATAAATAATCACTTATAATTGATCTACTATATATATCACTGCAATAAAATGCTTACAAAACTTTTCAACGATGCTGCTACTTGGGACTTTCGAATAATTCAAATTACCATTATAGTATACAGCTGTTGATTGCCGATGCCGCTTTGTTAAGTTTACGATACGCTTTTTAAACATGTTATAACGAGTACAGTGGCTGTTCGCAAAACATTTTTGTTGGTTTGCCATTTAATATAGAGGATGCAAGGAAGGAGCTGGGAGAGGCAGCTCGGAGAAGTGGTGCGGGTGGAGCACCTGGCAGCTCTCTCCCGACTCTGCCGGAGAACGAATTTGAGGGACTTCTTGCTGCGTGTCGATCTCATCGCCGGTAAGTCCATCGTTATTTTTCAGAGTTGTATTTCTGAACAGCCCATTCACGCAGCATTCACAGGGTTGTTGTAAATTTCGATGTAAAGCTTTCATGACTGCAGGGATTCATCTTCTTGGTTCTTTCGGTAAAGTCACGTAGAAGGGAAATAATAAAATAATGAAACTAAAATATAATAAAATACAATTCTCACGACTTTTCGGCCACAGCGCATTCAGACGCTGTCTTTCCGACAGACCTGTTCTTCACCTAAGGACGGCTGCTTGCGTTGTGGCCGAAACGTCGTGAGAATTGTATTTTATTATGTTTTAGTTTCATTATTTTATTTTTTCCTTCTACGTGACTTTACCGAAAGAACCAAGAAGAGGGTTGCTGTATGTGTGTCTTTTTGTATGCATAGTGGGGAGCAGTAGTGTCGCGGTTAGCGCGCTTCGCTCCAAACCCGGCGACCCAAGTACGATCCCCGCTCACGGCCAACATTAGTGACGAATTATCTGAACTGTGCCTTGGCCTCCCTTAGGTCGACTCAGCCTCAAATGAGTACCTGGTGTGTTGTGTTAACATCGCCTGGGAAGACAAAGGCGATCGGGCGTGGTCCTGGCCACCCACCCTCTAATGTGCCGTGCCAACCTTCATAGGTGTTCGTTAACAGCACTTGCCCCAACAGTCTGTTAAAGCTATAGGGGGGTCTTTGTTTTATTGTACACATCAGATAAAAACACAAGCTAGGATTCCCGGCCACGGATAATATTCGTGGTGGGTTTCATATCTGAATTGGTTGTGGCCCCCTCCTACTTCAATCTACAATAATTAGTGCTGGTGAAGTATGGTCAAACAACCTTCACTGACGACACGACATGGGGAGGCCTTCAGCCAGCAGTGGATTGATAAAGGGCTAGTAATTATAAATATTTAAACCAACTAGGCAGCAAAAGATACCGTTTTTGCAAGGGGGACCTAAATAAAATGTAAGATAGTTTTACGAAAAGTGAATCATTTCAATAGTGGTTTTAGAACTTGGCAACAGAGATGCTTACTTGGTCATTTTACTTCTAAAAATACACCCTGTTCATAAATATTACATTTAAGCTGTGAATGGACTAGAAATATGGCATTTTAATGATGGGGAAAGAATCCATTCTAAAACAAGTTTTTCCATCAAGATTAAATATTTTATCTGAGTTGTTTAACGTCATTTGCATAACTTGGAAATCTTTAACATGGCATGTTGAAAGTACAGTACAATGCCTTTTTTAAAGTAGATTTTCCAGGCATGGGATTTTTGACGATGTGCTTAAGTGCAATTATTTTTATGAATTGTCATATTGCACTCGAGAGCTTCACCTCTCCGATTAGAAAAATCCCGCACACCACCTATTTCTTTTTTGATGTCACGTGCATTGAATTAATTACCTTTTTACCACATCGCATTCAGATTTGTTTACTTTGAGGCCAGTTCTTTTCTCTCAACTTTTTTGACGTTACCATTTTCCACCCAAGCAAGGCGGGGGGGCGGGAGGGGCCCTCTACCAGGTTTAGTCAGCCTGAAATAATTATCCCTTTGCTTTGGAGTCCAAAAAGGCAACCGTGCGTGGTGCCGGTTCGCCAAGAAACAAGTGTACACTCGCAGCACTCCGCAAGCACTACCGAATCTTCTTTCCACTTCTAATGCGCAACAGCTGCTCTAGGTAAAGACTAACAGATCGGGCACTTTTTGGCTACATTGGGAAAACTCGATGCAGCTGCTGCTGCGTTGTGACAACATCCATTGCTATGGTGGGGGAGGCTGATTGGAGCACCATATATGTACAGGTTTTCCAAATAACCTAAACAGTACTCATCGCTTAGCCCGAATTACACTGATTAAGCATGATGTGGGTATTCTGAAAAACCCGGATTGGCACAATTGGTTAATAGCCAAGAAATCCAGCTTCGTCCCGGATTGTGGAATGTATAACTGTATTGATTCGTCGCATGTACAGATTAACAATACTGTACTTTTTGGGCTTCCACTATATTAGAGACCATATCACGAAAGCATGAATTAAATGGCTTACTTTAACATGTTGACCCAACTTATACAACACTAATGCATTGTCTAACAGTTGCTGGAGTGTATGTCTTGTAATTGGGGTATTTTCTAAACATCGCCACATGTAAGATTGATCTTTATCTTGATATCCACGTGACCTGTTGACCACCCAGTGCTTCCTGTGACTTGCGTGCACAAGGATTGCTCGTTGCCAGTCGTGTTGCTGACTAAATGATTCTTGGGCTTTCGGTGCCATGGAACAAGTGCCCGGCTTATAAGCCGTGTCTTTATATCGATTGATGACCGTAACGTTAATACATTTCAATGCAATTGAGATTTATACGACGCATTAACGCAACCACATCACGAGGCACTGTACTCCAGAAAGAGCGGGTATGTTAATCCTTTCATTATTTATGGCCTTATCTTTCATCAAACATTAATTATTTTTACATATTACAGCAGCCCATGGGCACAGGCTTTTGCTGTGCTGCTGCCACCTATTGCTCATACAAAGTGCACAGTCCTGGTGACAGGACCAACTGGCCATAACCCCACTTTAATCCGACTTTAAAACCCCGCTGCCAAAGGAAAAATGGTAAATCTGCGATTTTAATGTTGTTTGCGAGTCCCTACGTGCACAATATTTTTACTTGTTACAAGCAGCAACATAGTTAATTATGGCCTCGAGGATGTGGTAGGTTGACGAGGGTTGGAGTTGGGGGGGGGTGCTTGTGGATGGACAGGGGGTGGGTGCTGATGATGGTAGTGGGTTGGCTAGGGTTGTGGGGGGGGTGTAAGGCCAGCGAGCGGTTGACGAGGGTTGGAGTTGTGGGGGGCAGGGGTGGTGGTGCTTGTGGATGGACAGGGGGTGGGTGCTGATGATGGTAGTGGGTTGGCTAGGGTTGCGGGGGGGGGGGGTGTAAGGCCAGCTAGCGGTATAAACAAAACTGAACGATTTTTCCATTAGAAGGCTCGACCGCAGTCCGAGCTGCTGCCCAAACGCACGCACGGGCGCAGGGCGGGCGGATTTATTATCGGGCGAACATCTCCGGGGCCTTTCCTGCGCATTCAACCGCTACCTCCTCGCCTTCCACCACCACCACCATCTCCCCCCCCCCCCACCCTGGAAACATCGCTTTCTGTTTTGGCCGTGGCAAGTTGACTTTGGAACCATTCTCTTCTCTACAGCCCTCGGTGTTTGCGCGTTGGGAGAATTCTGCGTTTCGTCTTTTCATTTGTAACGTGTGTTGCTTTTTGACTGTTGACACTTCACATTGTCGGTCTGCTTTTGGATAGTGTTTTTTTTTTAAACATTTTGTTTATGGTCAGTTAGAATATTTGCTATTGTTGTTGTTGTGGCTTTATGTATGTATGTATGTTTTCCTGCATGTAGATCTTTCTTGATATTTGTTCAACGCTCTAGGTTGTAGCCGAATGTCTCGCCTTCAGATGCCTGTTCCTCTTGTAGTATAAATATACAACGATGTATAAGTTTTGTTTTCATCTGCTTGTTTACGTTTATGTGTGTTCATTGTGTATGTGCTGTACATATATGATAGCCTGAGTGTAATATAGCATATGACTATGTACATACACATCAGGTTTTGTGTGTCCGTGCATTTAATTAAAATAGAATATACAGTTTTTTCAGGAATATGTCAACTATAAAGCATGCGTGTATAACAGTGTTATGATATTATTAAATGTTTATGTAATAATCTTACTTATGCAAGTACTTTAATATGTATTATCCATTACCCCGGCGGCATTAGTTTATGGTAATCTACACATTACCATTGCTTAAGGCGTATACATTTATTTTCTAAATGTTATCCGCAACAACGTTCACATTTAATGTGATGTCTACGTGTTCTTGCATCGTTCGTGTTAAGCACGAGTTAAAGATATGCGTGTGGCGGTGTTTGACATACAGGGGTTTATCATTACACGAAGGTGAGGTTGACAGCTTGACAGCTTTTACGGCAGTCATGTAGACAACTTGTGGAGGGAAGCTGGTTGAACATTAAACGAAGACTGGCGCTTCTCACATTTGTTTTTCAGAATTCACAATGCTGCAGATACAAAGGTAAGAATGGATTTTCGTTTTGTCCTTCCTGTGTTGAATACGACCTGTTGGTATACAAATCCAATGTATGATGAAACCATTTCATTTTAACAAGGTAAACACGCGTGTATGGTCAGAGTGAATAATGACATACCCACATCTTCGGTTTATGCACCAGTTCAAAGGTTTGGGTCTGTTAATTTGTTTCAACTCTTTCACCATCTGCCAGTGTTTTTCATTGTCACATGTCCGCACTATTTGACAGATATTCTATGTTTGTTTTCATTTAAAGTTGGTCACATTTTAGCTCCGGGCTAGTCGGCGATAACTACAGCTCCGTTTCGTTTAACGGCACACGTTTATGTTATTTGATTTGTCCCTTGGGAATACATTTTGGAGGTAGCATTTATTTCTCACAGACCTGAAAAAAAAACACTACGAAAGACGATGCAATTGAGAGTTTATTCTCAAAATATACAAATTAAACTACTGTATATTCAAGTAAACAAAGTAAATTGAACCTCATGCTCAATCATTGGGTGCTCTCCATTGATGGGCTTGATCCAGTGGTAGACATGTCCCTGTTCCTTTGCTCGGGACCAGTCTTCTCCAGAGACAACCTTTTGTTTCCTTAACACAAAATTACGCTTATCGGTAGTACTAATTTAACCGACCCACTGACCCGGGATAAATGATTGTGATAAGTCAATCCTGTCTGGAATTTCTACTCGCGTTGCCACTGCTGGAACCTTGCCCTACCAACTAAATCTATTGTGTTTTTTGAGGCGTAATTTACTTTCCCAACTCTATTATACGATGAATTGAAGATATATGGATTGAGTAAGCACGAGGTCAGTAGTGTGGTTGTTGGAGTATAGCACATTGGCTATAGGGAGACGACTACCAGCGTTCGACTAACTACAATCTATTTACGTCATTGTGGTCAGGGCAGTGTGTCATTGTGAGAGTGGGAGCATGGTGCACTTGTTTCTTGAAAAATTACGTGCAGAAATATTACTTTGTTTTTGGACTGATTGCTCTGTCCACTTGCACGCATGCATGTTGAACACCTGTACGCAGACGTAGAAACCTCAATTTTCACTTGCAAAAGTGTGCGTGTGACAGCATTGACAAGACTCCGGCACATTCCTGTTTATGGATGTTTAGAATGTGGATACCTAGGACAGGTATTGCGGGTGGACCGAGATCAAAATTATGAACTTGAGAGGTGGATGAAAGCAGTTTGGATTGCTTTTGAAAATCCCAACTTGGTCATGAAAATGAAAACAGCAATGTAACTAAAGAACATTTCTTTAATCGGTGTATTTTACCTCCGGTGGTATATGGATCAGAAACATGGACATTGGCAAAAAATGTGTGCAAATAAGTGTGTAGAAATACATGATGGGAATTACATTGAGAGACAGAAATAGTAACATGGATTAGAGAACATATGCATCATTTAAACTGTCAAGAAGAATTAGTGGGCTTGGGAAGGATACGACGCTTGAAGTGATGATGGCCAGTGGTCGAGACTGACGACAGAGTGGCAGCCAAGGGATGGAATGTAATGGAAAGAACGTCCACTGTGGAGATGGAGTGGTGGAATTAGCACGTGCGCAGGTGCTGGGTGTGGAGTGTTTTATTGCAGGACTGCATGTTGGCAGCTTGGCCTTTATCCAGATTCCAAAGAACACAGGATGAGATGTTACTATCCTTTGTGCAAGCACTTACAAGAGTTCATGAACAGTGAGCCTGGTGAAATTTGGGGAGCGCATCGTCAGTAGTGACCCTTTGGTTCCTAGGGTGTTTCGGCCTTTCATACTATACACCCTCCCCAAAGGCGGCCAGCGACAGGGTGATCAATCCTACGCTTGCGTCCCATTCCCAATTAGTCATAGGAGTTGCCTTGTTGTTGATAGCCAACATCCCATGGGACTATGCATGGCAGGGGCGTCCTCCTCCCTGAGTCAAGCATTGTTGACTGCATACCTCCTGGCCCTCTCACTTTGGGGCCCAGCTGGGGTCTTTCCTCTTCATCCAGAGCCACTGACTGCTGCCTTCTGCCGCCTCCGATACAGCTCTGATTGCCGAACGCTGGCTCTGGCCCTTAATTCCCAGGTCTCTAAGCAGTCTGGTTGTAGATGTTGCCACAAAACCTCTGCAGCCCACCTCCACTGGTCGGACTTCTGTGTTCCAGCCATGATGCCGTGCTTCGGCAGCTAGATCGGCATGGCGCAGATGTTTTCGCTCATAAGCCTCATCTACTGAGTCCTCCCAGGGTACTGTGAGCTCAATGATGAAGACCTTCTTGAGCGAACGGGACCAGAGCACCATGTCAGGTCTTAGGGTGGTGGTTGCGATCTCCGGAGGAAACACAAGTTGCCGGCCAATGTCAGCTAGCATTTTCCAGTCGCGGGCCAAGCGCAGCTGGTCTCGCTCTATTGGTGTAGAGCCGCTCTTCGGTGGTTTAGCCCCTTCGCGGACAAAGGTCGTCCGTAAGGGGTGTGATGCTGCTGGGGGTGGTAGGGAGTTGGTGGCAGCTCGCTTGTCCTCCAGGGCGGACGCAAGGTTTTTAAGGTCTTGGTTGTGACGCCAAGTGTAGCGTCCTTGGGTGAGGCTTGTTTTACACCCTGTGAGAATGTGCCTGAGGTTGGCTGGCATGGAATAGAGGGCACAGTCCGGATCTTCACCATACCATTGGTGAAGATTAACTGGTGTTGGAAGGATGTCATATGTTGCTCTGATGGAAAAGCTCAACCGCCTCGCTTCCATGGCCCACAGATCCTTCCAGCTGATCTTCAGCAGTGGATTGATCATGGCTGATGGAAATGTTGATGACTAAAAATGTAAAACTACAATATAGGCCTCACAAAGTATTTCTACACGCGTTCCACTCGCGTCATATCCCCGCCAACATTCTACACACACCTCGGACAATGACAGAATTCCAATAAAGTAAAGTTTACACGTGTACTGTCAGAGATTTAGTACCGTGGAAAAGCACTTCCAACTTTCAGACGAGTTCAGACGACGAGATGGCTAAAGAAAACCATGCAGAGTTCGTACTCTTGACCCAAAAGTTTCTGCTGTGTATTAATAACGTCAATGGCAGTGTTGACCAGCCTTTCCACTAGTTACGTAGTCCGAAAGAATTGGGTTTTTTTTGTCTTGTCCTTGCCATGTTATCAACTGCTAGCAATTCCTAAAATGGTGTTTTGGACAAAGTATGTATATTTTAGAGAGTTGAAAAAAAAATCTTTCCAGAAGACCACGTGCAACAGCTGTAAATTGTATTCTTTTTTTGTTGGATGAGGGGTTGGGTGGAATGGTGAGATGTGAGCATAGATCGGGCAAAGCTCAAACATTTTTCATAGGTTGGTATTCGTAATTTGTTGTAATTTGTTGAGCTGAAACAAATTGGCAGTGCCCGTTACAATTGTCTTAAAAAATAACACAAACCTGAAATGGAAGTCGTTTTTGATTGCTTACTCAGGTATTTATACACAGTACTGTACCAGGTTACTGATAATCCCCCCAGTCCAAGGATAACCGAAAATCAATAAATGGTCATAACATATATCATAAACACGGAACCTTTTTTTTCCTCACGTAACTACGATACCAGGGCAAAAGATGCTCGTGCTGCAGTGCTTTATTCTGCTTTGCTATCGCCATGACAAACGGTTCAAAAGCCCAGGGTGTGTAATGAGGTGCAGTTCTTAAAATACCTCGCTCGCCTAACAATTAGCAAATTGCCACATGTATGTACAGTACTTAACCTGTGGAAAGGTTCACTTGAACCTCACTGGGTTTTATTACAGTTCTCTGGTCATGCACATTTACACGAGGAATGCGTAATTAGGAAGAAGTTGTGCATGTGACCACACTGCCTTCACACGTTACGTGAGCGATGTTGTGTTCAGTTCTGATGTCGAATGTTTACATGCTCGCTTTGCCTATTGTATCACCGATGGTTGCTATTCAGAGGTATACTGCACACCTCATGGCAGGGTTCCACTGTCATATAAAATGTTTTCAACAGATGGGACATCGTTTACCTAAATGATAGGAACGGGTTGATTCGATGGATACATTTCTTTGCACACTGGGATGGATCAACGGGAGACAATTAGCTTTCGGAGCAGTACTGACGCTACCACCGCCGCAGAGACCATTTAATATTAATCAGGCATGAAGCTTTCGTGACTGCAGGAATTCATACTATTTGGGTCTTTCGGTAAAGTCACGTAGATATAATTTTTTTTATATCTACGTGACTTTACTGAAAGACCCAAAGAGTATCAATGAGGCAGTTTAACTGTCGTAAGTTTTGCAGCTTTTAAATTGTCCCCAGGCCAGTTGCCGGCCATTTTTTTCAGACAATTTTAGTACATGCATGTGCTTAATGTCACCCTTTCTCAATTTGTTTCTTTTTCGAATTCGACTTGTAAGTTTGAAATTCGCTGTGTTTTCATTAATAGGAATGAATACCGCAGCAATTACCGCCTTCCACATTTCCAACCCAAACATTCAAATGTGCAAATATTGACAAATTCATGGGCAGTGGGGGTGGGTTAAATGCACAGGAGATGCCTGGCTGGGTGGCCATAGTAGGTGGTGGCCATGTGACTATATTTGAGCTTGTAACGTGGGAGGTCACGAATTTGGGCCACACGTTGAACAAACCAAAAAGAGCTTTGCCTACCTTGAAAAGAGTTTGTGTGATCTGCCGTTTTGCTGGAGTCAGCTCAGTAGCTGAGTGATCGAAATTAAAATGTGTGTATGTGTGTGCGTATGTATTTCTGATGTATAAAACACCACGTGAAAATCGGTACAAATTGGTCCTATTGAGCTTTCAGAGTTCATTAGCACTGCTGATGCAGAACAAGGAAGGTTGTTAAGTAATAAACATTGGCTTTGTGACAAGTCTCGTCATAAACGTTATACTCTTTGGATCTTTCGGTAAAGTCACGTAGATAGAAAAATACTTTAAAGACCACGACGTTTCGATCAGGTGAAAAGATACAGCAGGCGGACTGCTGCCTCAGCAGTCCACCTGCTATATTTTTTCACCTGAAGACGATTGCTTGTGTTGCGATGGAAACGTCGTGATTTTTTATTCTTTTTCTATCTACGTGATTGTACCGACAGACCCAAAGAGTATTAATTCCTGCAGTCACGAAAGCTTTAAGTCAAGATATAAACGTTATAGTCAGTACGACAGGCAATTGGCACACTGGTTAGAACAGTTTTATCGCATTTTAAAGGTTTCCAGTGCAAATCATGGTTGGGACAAACTCAGCCGAGCATCTCTCCGGGGGCAATAAAATTAATTCCAATGTGTGAGAATTCATAAGTGGCCTACCCTATGGACAGACTGGGCCTCAATGGGAATGTAGAATTTTCACAACTGACTCAGGGGCCACCAATAGAACTGACTTTGATTAATTATACGACAACAATAATTGACATTGGTGCACAAATAACAAAAACTTTCATCAATAAATCTGCCCTGAAAGGAAAACAAAAATGGGGTTTTGGCCAATTACCCTTCGTCATAACAGATCGAGCATGAATAAGGACCTTTGCCCAAAACGTGACCTGTTTTTTTAATATATTTTCCTTTTAGAGTTGTTAACGATGAATTGTGTTTGAGAAGGTTAAGAATCTTCAATGAATAAACAATTTCTCGATTGCAGTGTACTTAAGTCATGCATATCATACATTCAATCTCCGTATACCTTTGGAATCGTTTGTTATAACAAACCGTTGGTTATACCCTTGGAGCCATTCACAAAACACATGTTTGGATAATCAATCGACAAGATTTATAAAATTATGTAACTAATCCAGCACCTATTTTAAGTCGGCATATTTGTCGTGAAATCATCCAATGTTTACACGCAAATATATTTTTTTTTATGTGCCATCAGTACTAACATTAACAAGTTGGCCCGAACGTAAATACTTTTAAACGCTGTTGGGCAAATGATGTCACGCTGCCCATAAAAAAAAAATCTTCTGTATTTGGACATTGATGTAAATACTGTTTTAACCAGGGTGGTCCTACGTAGTTATGCAGCCTTTATTTAAACCAGGTGAGAGTCAAGTGAGACAAATTGTTCAATTTGCGAGAACTGGGGAGTAGGTCACTTCTGTAAATTAACAACAAACGGGGAGAATGTGTCCTATGTATGTATGTTGAACTTATTCTGCACCGTATGTAGCAACCGTGCTAATAGGAGCTCAGGTTTGACCTTTCAACACCCAAATCGGTGGCAATTAGGGTTCTCGTCAATCTACTCTGCACAAAATAAGTATGTACAGGGATGTCATTTCTTGCGCTCAGCTGGGTTTAGTGCTGACCCCACCACCCACTCATGTGGCTCCTTGACTGAAATGTGTGTTGCAAAATGGCACTCAACCTAACATTTTTAATAGTGTTGTAAATTAGACTTTTGTCTTTACGTGTACTTGTATTTAAATGAAATTGAGTACCCATGTGTTGTGATTTTGGAGTAAATGTTTAATGTATGTATGTATGTTGAACTTCTTTCACGCGAACGTAGCCAACCATGCTAATTGGACCTGGGTTAAATTTGTGACCTGGGTTAAATTATAATTTTTACCATTTCATTTGACGTCTAGCAAACCCTCTTAAATCAGATTGTATGTATATACCTCCTATAATCACCCAGGAATGTCCGTCCTTAACGCTCGTGACGTCACTCCACATCAACCAGCCCCCCTCATTAATATGCATGAGCAGGTGACGTCCTCCAAATGGACACCCCCTCCATTATTATTAGTTACTATAATGAGCCAAGAATGTCTGTGTGCAACGCTCGTGACGTCACTCCACGTCGACCAGCCCCCCTCGTTAATAATCATGAGCAGGGGATATCACTCCACATGAAGCACTCTCCCCCTTATTAATAATCATGATCAGGTGATGTCACTCCACATCGTACAGCCCCCCTCAATAATTATAAGGTGACGTCCTCCAAATGAACACCTCCCCCCCCATTCATAATAATTAGCGGGTGACGTCACTCCACAAGGGGGCCGAGGCGCCTCCTCCCTCCTCCTCGGCGTCAACTTACAACCCTCACTACAAAGGCAGAACCCTGACGTCATCACGTGATCTCCCTAACGCTGTTGAGACATCAAAGTAAAAAGGACGTCATGATGAACAAGGGATTATAACCTTAAAATGAAATAGGTCTGTGTCACCGCGCCCTTACAATAGATTGGTGCATTTACTGAAGCAGTTCTCAAAAGGGTGAACTGACCAAACATCCTCTGCAGGACCCATCTGAAAAAAAGTTTTGACTGTTGATGTCTTGCATAAATAAGGACTTTAGCAAATGAATGAAATATCCACTTAAATTAAATCTACATACTATTTATTGTCAATGAAATACATGTGTATAAAGATATAATATATGTTTTTGTTTTCGGAAGCATTGCATTAAAAATACATTGTCACGCACATTTCACCAAACCTGTGATATCTGGTGTACCAATATCCGAATGTATAGGCATACTATTTTAAGACAACCCATACATATTGTAATGTTAAACCTCCTCACTGATTTGACAATGGGACTTGATGTCCTGGACCTTGAAATGCAATGCATTGAAGAAAAAAAACAAGTACTCTTAATGTTTTGGAGATTGTTAAATTACTGACGGGAATTAATGCACGTCATTCGGTCCAATGTGCAACACCTACACAACGCCCCATCGCATCCTGTGGTGCTGCGATCGCATCCTGAGCTGATTGTGAGCCTGGAGAAGAGTGTTCGTGTGTTTGTGTGCGCACAGTTTTGCCGTTCGGTGTGTCGGCGTGTGGGTTGTTAATTTTGTTGGCACATTTTGCGCACTTATGTTCTAATTATGTGTGTATGTTGAATTTATTTTTCGCACCGTATGTAGCCAACCTTGCTAATCGAAGGTGCAGGTGCGGGGGAAGGACAAGAAACTAAACACAAAAAGCAGTTCTAAAGAAATACGTTTTCAATCTAGATTTAAAAGTGCATAGCTCCAGTGGCTTCCTAATATCGGAAGGATGATCATTCCAGACGACTGCAGAAGTGCATCTTGTCACAAGTGTGTTTTTCTAGCTGCGATTGCGTGATTGCACCCTTGTGTTTGTGTGTTGTAAGTTACTTTCTGTTTTTTGAGTATGTTAGCACACTAGGAAGCAATAATTCCACATCATCAGGAAGTAACAGGCGTCTGAACCTGGCATGGGCCATCGGGCCAACTCGAACCAAAATCAGTATTTATAGTGGGTACAAGAGCATCAACTCGCAGGAAAACACTATTGGTCTTGCCGACCTTAATAGACATTTATTTACAGTACTTGCCTTGACAGTTTTCTCTATGGCTACATTGAGGTGGGGGGGGGGGGCGATCTTTGCAAGCACAAAGGAGAGTGGGTGTATATCTGTACTTAGTATGTCAATATTTGTACGCGTATTTGAACAAGTGTACCGTATTTGCGTTTGTCAGCAGGAAGAGACATCTGGAGAAGCGTTGGAGGGAGTCGTGAGTTTGGAAACTGCCACCCAGTCCGCTGCCACGCAGTCCGCTGCCACCATGGCCACCCAAGTGAGCGGTGGGTACCACACCTCTGCCGAGAATCTTGAGTAATCCATAATAAAGTTTTTTTTTTGGGTTAGATTGTGTTAATATGAATGTGTTGTTAAATCCGCCACCACCCGACACAGCCAATTAGTAAGGTTTGTCACGTATACAAAACGTGGCGATGTGTCCGAGAGTAAAGCCAAATTCCACCTATTGACAGTGAACCCAAGAGGTTGCATAAACTTTCTCTGCAATTTCATATTTTATTCAAATAGGACTGTTTAGTCAACAAAAGTTAGTTGGAAAATCGAGTGGGTGCATTAACATTTAATATTTTTCTTCCAAAAACGTATCTCACTCACAAATAGGAAAAAAACGTGTATGCTATTTGGATTTTGGAAAACATATATATCCATATGGGACTTAAATAAGCCATATATGATTATTCTACCCAGTTATAGACACTGCATAAATTACAGAAAAGTAGTGACCGTTTAAGGATACATTCTTTAGTAAAATGGAAAATTACTCAACCTTTTTATGAAAACATGGCAGTTTTTATTTCATTGAGTGGAGTTATTTCTCTTGCTTCTTTGCAAAGGTCAAGTAACAGATGATTGACATTCATCCCCTCACTTGTTTGTCCCTGCTCACGGAAACCTAACGAAAACTCTTGGTCATTATTTTGTGTTATTGTACGTGAACCTCACAGGGTGGTGTTGCAATTGGACTGCCCGTTGTGAGTTCAAATCCTGCTTAGTTATCTGTTCAGCAGATCATCTCTCTAGCTTTGAGTAAAGAAGTGCCACTTTTTGAGACCTCAGCAGATGTTATCATGCGAGAAATATGCTCCTGCCATCGGAATATGAAACTTTCACTCCTGGCTCAGGCTGTCCATGGAGATGAGTATTGCCCTGCGTTTGCATCGCTTGAAAAAACGTTACTACCAGGTTATAAGACAGTTTTTCCCTCCGTTGTAAAGCAGAAGTTCGGGGGTTCGTCTAATTATCCATTAGATGTGTGCCTGTATAACCTGATTGACACTCCGCACAAGTTTAGGTGTTGGCTTACTTTGAGTAGCATCTTATAATCCTGACAATTTGGTATATCATAAAATATATCATGAAATATTACAATAATTGCGGTGAACAAAGATGGTAGTATGTTTTAATTGCATGAAAAAGCTTGAACATGTGTCCTTTTCTTGGGATAATGCTGAATTGTGAACTATTGATGGCTCAACTGTAGTGTGTTATCTATTGCCGTAGACAAATAATGAATCAAGTGCTTTAACAATTGGTTTAATCCCTATTACTGTCATATCAGCATGTGGCTACTCCCTTGTGTTGGTTTAGGAACAGCATTAGCTGATACTTGCCTTTTCCTCCACGTAATATTTGTCTACTTTCCTGCTTTAATACGCAGCAGTCTGGCAAATAAGTAAGCCAAGCCACCATTTGGCGAGGCGTGCATAATGCATTCTAGATTTGAAGCTTTCGTGACTGCAAGGATTCATATTCTTAGGTTTTTTTCGGTAAAGTCACGTAGGTAAAAATAAATAAATATAAAAGATTAATTCTAAAAATAATAGAAATAATAATAGAAATAAAATAATGACATCCTTCACAGATGGCATCTCTGGAGGAAGGCCAGCGTCTCGAGAAGCTGTGACTTCTTGTCTCGTTGTCTGTTAAAAACTCTTAACTGGTGAAATTCCTCCCCGTAGAGGGTATTAATTCTAGATTTGAAGCTTTCGTGACAGCAAGGATTCATACTCTTCGGTTCTCGAGACGCTGGCCTTCCTCAAGAGATGCCATCTGTGAAGGATGTTCTTATTTTATTTCTATTATGATTTCTATTTTTATTTATTACTTATTTTTACCTACTTGACTTTACCGAAAAAAACCTAAGAGTGTGCATAATGCATTTTGCCGATTTAAAAGCACAATTATAGAACACAAGTTAAATAACTTTCGGTGTTAATTTGCACAACGTTTGTTGGGCTCATCGTACCTTCCTATAATTTTCAATTGGCACACAGCAACTTGACTATGGTGGGTTGTCTTTTCTTATTTAAACAGTTGCTGTTCAACACAGGAAGTCCTTACATACTGTCTAATATAGGCATGTAATGAGGCGTTCATTCATTGATGGCCATTGATTCTTCATCTCACAAATCCTTCATCGAAGCGTTGTGCATTGGAATCTCAGGTGCAAGTGACCTCCTCCAGCCACTAGACGCTGCTGCATTCACCACTAATGAGGAAAAAAATGCTATACAGTAAAACCTTGGATTGCGAGCATAATTCGTTCCGGATACGTGTTTGTAATCCAAAGCACTCGTATATCAAAGCACTCATGTATCAGTTGTGATCACGTGACGTTCGGCAGACAAAGCGTATACGTGCTACTCGTATTGCAAGACCTCGCTCGTTTATCAAATTCATATTGATTTAAAAAATTTGCTCGTCTTGCAAAACACTCGCAGACCAAGTTACTCACAATCCAAGGTTTTACTGTATATAGATTTAATCGAATCGTAACCCTAAATGACGACAATCAATTTACGTGCTGTGCAAAAGAAGTTCAACATACATTCATTGTGTCACCCAGTTATGAAGGACGTTGCATTTGATATCTATTCAAATCAGTGTCCAATATGCTGTTGTTCTTGCTTATAAAATCACATTTGTTTACGCATAGCTGTATGTGAAACCGTTTCAAACAAACTACACAACAAAGGAATGTTACCATGTAACAAAGGAATGTCTGAAAGAAATATTGAATCCTGACCAAGTGAACACATGTTCCTCTTAACAGCAGACGCAACAAAATCAATATCTTCGCCGTCTTCACCACCACAGCTGCTGGACGACAGCCCTCCTGGGTCTCTCCAGGATGCAATGGAGAGACCGGCTGTAACGGAGCCCATTAACGGAGCTTGCAAATCGCTGGACACCGAGAGAATTTCGACGACCACCGAAGAGCAGAGGGTAGCGGTGGCGCAAGCGGCCGAGGGGTCCACCAGCCTCGCACACGTGAATCACGTGGCAGCGTGGGACACGGAGCTTTTGGACGCACAAACATCACCAAAGGTTCAAGGTCCTGCCGAGGACCAGAGGCCCTTGGAGTCGACGGTGAAATCCACGGACCTCGGGAGCGCTCTTCATGCACCCGGGGAAGTGACTGTGTCGAGTGTGGCGGCCGGGGCAGGAGCCGCCTCACAAAAACCGCTCCGCGACGGAAGTCCGCCCGCGTGTTTGGACGTGCGGTGCGGGGAATTCGGCCACGTGATGAGGATCCCACCACCCGCGTACGCGCTGCAACCGGAAGAGGCTGACGAGGCTCGTGAAGTGCCACCGGAAGCACTGGCCACCGAGCCCAGTTTCCCATCCCCGGCGGCATCTGGAGATGGAATGGTAGAGACGGCTTGCGGTCGCGGTGAGAGTAGAGGCAGCCGAGTAGCTGGGGCCACCATCGACAGCCTCACCGGGCCAATGACAGGTGAAGAGGAGGACCCGGAGCGAGCGGAGGAGACGAAGGAGGAGCAGGAGGAGGATGAAGAGGAGGGCATGGAGGCCGAGGCGACGGCTATGTGCACATTGGCCACGAATGGGATGCGCTTGCAGGAGGGAGATGAAATGGCGGAACTGGACGAAGAAGCCAAGAGGATCAAGATCGAGCAGGTAAGGAGTTTTTCAGGGTTAATGTTAAATAAAACATGCTAAAAGAATGTAGTGTTTAGGTTTAGCGTTAAGCGGGTTGACTGTAGTGTTGTCCTTACCAAGGGGTTTTGCACGAGCATGAATGTGTCGCATGATTGTGACCTTGGCAGCCACAGTCCGGCAGAGATTTGTTTTTTTGTGGTAGCATTCCAGTTAAAATTGTGGCGCGAGAAGAAAAAATACCTCCTTTTAAGGCAGCATGAAGATATCACACTCGCATAACCACTGGGCTGCTATGAACACACCAGACAAATAGGATTGTGTCTTGTGTTGTGTTTTTATGTCACGTAAATATCTTTCTCCAACAACTCTCCCGATATCTTGTGAAGATATTACTTAAAGGGATACCATGTCTCATTTCCAAGTGGAAAATACCACACGTCTGCTGTATGTTATGCGGTTGTTTTAAATTACTTTTCATGTTCTGTCATATTTGTTTTATTAGCAAGCACATATTGTGTCTGCTCGAATCATGTCGGGGAGGTTTTAAAAAACAAAACATCAATGAGGTATTGATGAACTCTTAACCTTGGGACATTAAGCGCGCATTGATTTTTCCCTAATGCTGTTGAAAAGCGTATACAGTGGGCTGTTTATTACATGCGATAGATGCACATAAAAACAAGTGCGTTGCTATGTGGGAGATGCGTAAAAAGCAGATATTCATTTGATAAAATTGTGCACGTGACATCCCCATGGGATTATGATCAATTAGCAGCTTGAAATGTGCTGTTAGGTAGACAATTCATGCCCATATGATATAGTTTACAGGTAGAAATATATATTTTTACGGTGGTGATTGCCCAACTTAAAAGAAATAAAATAAAAATTACCCACAATTCGATTCTAACACAGGGTAAATCAAAATGTCATGGTGTCTTACAGCTCATATAGCCAGTTGAGCGACAATGACCAACAGTTCACCACCGTCAAGGGAAAATCTCCAGGCAGGATGGCAAAAAATAGAGAGAGGTTTAAGAAATTTTACGAGCTACACAGATGCCGTTAAAACTAAAAAGGGGAGATAAATACAACAGTGCTGTTATATTGTGAAGCTGAAGGCCGGCGAGACTTGGATAGCATGGGCATGCGTTGAAAAGAGATGAAGAGGATTCCAGAGGTGGGACAAAGTCATTGTTATGCAAGTCCAAGTCGAGTCTGAAGTCATCAAATTCATGACTCGAGTCTGACTCGAGTCCAAGTCACATGACTCGAGTCCACATCTCAGAGGTGGGACAAAGTCATTGTTATGCAAGTCCAAGTCGAGTCTGAAGTCATCAAATTCATGACTCGAGTCTGACTCGAGTCCAAGTCACATGACTCGAGTCCACACCTCAGAGGTGGGACAAAGTCATTGTTATGCAAGTCCAAGTCGAGTCTGAAGTCATCAAATTCATGACTCGAGTCTGACTCGAGTCCAAGTCACATGACTCGAGTCCACATCTCTGGAGGATTCAGTTATAAGAGCTACAGAGATGTTGTTACAGAGCAGGAGGAGTAGAGGGAGACCTGAGGGTGAGGTGAAACGAACGAGATAGGAGAGTGGATGTGATTAAAGAAGAGCCACAGAATAGAAGTGCGTGGAGGAAGAAATCCAAGCAGCAGACCCCACGAAAAAATGGCACTTTTGACTTCGTTTCAGTTTCATTTATTTGGTATAGCCCTGGGAGCCATTCCGTTCTTGAATCGGGTGCAACCGCAACCAACAAAAACATGACCAAGAAAACATCTTAAAGTGACTATGCGCAAACAGAAAAATCCAGGAAAAAACAGCAAAAAATCTTCCAGAAAAAATACACGAAAGCTGTGTGCAAAAATCCCAGTGGGATGCAAGTCAAACAACAAACAACCACAAGACAACTTAGATTAAATCCATAATTCTAACTCCGTACTACAACAAACAAACATGGCCAAACCAAATAACTTTTCGAAATCACCAAAATAAAGGCATAAAAGCAATGTAACAGTGATCATAGGAACTGTGACCGAAATTTCACAATAAACGACATAAACAACATGTACCACAAAACCCTGTAGCCATAGCTGGCTGCATGACTCACTCCACAACAGTAGGAGCATCAGTTGGAGTATCAAAAAATTTCAATGCACCTTTAAAGATTAGCACACTAAATCTAAACACAAGATCATACTTTGCAGCAGTCATCCGGAGCGAAACATTTTGTTTTAGGCCACTGAATAGCAGTGGCAGCTAGGGGTGTACAACTCCTCTAGAGCGAGACTCGGGAGTATACGAACCACTGTTGACGGATGACAAAGTGGTCCTCGGATTATAGAGGGATGACGCTTGTCCTATAACTCTGTCAACTGAGTTTTCTATTGTGTGAGAAGCAATCTCAGCTGTATCTCGCCTGAAAGAAATACGGGTCATTTAATGTGTTGCTTGTCAGCAAATGCGATCCAAAGTGTGTGTTTCGTTGTGTGTCGGCACCGTCTTGGTGACACCTTGCCCTTCGCTCCTTTGCTCGCCGTGTGGCTGGTGCTGTGCGTCACGTGGTGGCGGCCAGTGGGCACGTCCGCAGAACCTCACCTCCATTCTGAAGAAGCGTGGGAGCGAAGGCTCTGTGAAGGACGGGGCGGACCGCGGCCGCACGAGGAGGCGCGTGCGGTTCTCCTACCCGGATAACTCCGCAATCGAGCCAGGTGCGTGTTCTCTCAAACTATTTAAAAATATTTTTTTTTATTTTTCCCAGATCTTTGCTATTTCTCAGATGCGACCTGGCCGCAAAAGATTGCTCAACGAAGTGGCTTATGTGGAAATTTAAAGCAGCCAAATACTCTAACGCGTGTTGCTAAATGTGGAGGGAAAAACTGGAGGACCGAGAAAAAAATCCACCTGACTACAGGGAGAGGATACAAACTCCAAATATACAGCAGCAGCAGCAGGCGTCAGGATCGGAATCGAACCCACGACCCCCTGCATACCAGGCGAGGGAGTTAACATCTCACCACCACCAATAAGTGGCAGATTTGTGCCAGAAAGGCGCCGCCACGTATGTAAACAAAAATTTATTTTACTTGACCATAATCCACTTCTTTATTCAACCACCTCGCTCACTCATCTAACTCTCACGTAACTCGCATTCTAACTCGCTCGCCTAGCTTGCATTTAAATTCACTCATGGATGTTGTGTGTTCTGGTTCTTTCGCTTTCAGTTTTCTCAAGGCGAGAACTGTCTTTGAAATGAAATACTGTGCACATTGGCACTGACTCGTATAGAACTGATCGTATAAATAGTATGATTTAACAATAACATGGCATTGTTATTGTGCCCACTTACATGTTGAATGTTCTCTTGATCACCGTTAGTGATTTGTCCTCCCCCAGCTCCGATTAGTCCCCTCCCCGCACCTCTGATTAGCACAGTTGGCTGCTTACAGTGCGAAAAAGTTAAACATGTTCAGGAAATTTCTGAAACTAGTCATCTCCAGTCAAAGTGGATGTCACAAAGGTACTGTGAATGCATTCCAAGACTAGATCATGATGTGCCAGCTTTGAAGACAAAATCTGAAGTTTTTATTTTACCTGCATCTTAAATGAAATAAAATGTAGATTTTTTTTTTGGGGAAGTACTTTAGCTGAGAAGATGAAGAGATAAATTTATGGTTTTTAGCTGTCAACTTGGCTCATCAACTCTCCAGAATTAATACAATCAATACAACTTTGTTGAATATTAAGTTCTTATTCTGTGCAGTGACTAGTCGTAGCAGTGTAGAATTTCCGGCACTACCTCAGAGCCACCAACAAACAACATGGATACCGCCCCACGCTCATTTGAGGAGGCAGAAACTTTTCATTCCATTTTGCCTTACATTTCATGCATCCTCTTGCCCGGACTATATCCTTCCCAGACACAGAGGAAGGTGGCGCCAGCTGCCTGCTACTGCTGCTGCTCATGCTGGGTACTGTGTTGGTGAGCGTCCTGGGCACGGCCTTCTACTGCCACCTGTTCGCCGACAGCGACGTGGAGCGGACGTTGGGAGATTCGGACGCGGCGGCAACGGCCCAGGCGTGCGCCGACTTCCGCGCGCAGACCAAGGCCTACTACGGCCGCGCGACTCGCTGCCTCTCGGCCACGGCCGAAGCTCTGCAGCATTGCCTCTCGGCTGCGTCAGGGTGGCTCTCATCGCACCTCAACGCGACGTCGGTTTGACAAAAACAACCAAACCCTTCCCACCCCCTCACCTAAACAACTTCGCGACGAAACCCACTGTTGGTCCCGTATGGCTGCCACCATGGCGACTGATTCCTGCGCGAATGGCTCGCGTGAAGAGCTCACGCACGCGCCGCCTCTGTTTTGCAGCCTCTTGGTGAGATTTACAGCAAGCGGGGAGCACCAGCGTCACGGAGGGATGTCAATGTGAACATGTTTAAAGCGCCTCGTGTGGGAGTGGATGTCGACATCAAACAGAGTGCTTTGTTGGTGTGCTCCAGAAGCACTTGTAGCAAGCGTGGACATAAATGGAGTTTTGGACGCAAAGTGTGAGGGAGGGGTGGATGTAGTGAACCAGCAGTTGGGGAAGAAAGATGGTAAATACACATGGAACTTATGTTTTTCAGCCGTTCAACCACAACAACAACAAGAAACAAACATTCTGATTACATTTTTATACATGTGTAATTGATGTGTTTTGGATATGTTTTATTTTTGTTTATTTAATGATGGTGTAACTGTGCATCGTGGTTTGGTAGGAACTGTCCTGTTCTATATCAGCGGTGGGGGGGGGGGGGGGGGGGAAGAGCTATGCGTGTGCTATATTGTTGCAGAGAGCCTCCTGGGAGCTGGAGAAATGCTTTACGGGAGCGATGTTGGAACACGAGTTAAATCGTCACGAGTTCCGCATTCTAGATGGGGCACCTTGGGAGTTGCCCCTGTGACTCAATTTTTATATTTAATAGTTTTGTGAACCTTAAATTTGCACGGTGCTGTCTTGGTTCCAGAATAATTCTTTAGAGAAGCCACGTGCAGGCCGTGATAGTAATTGCAATCATAGATGGATAATACTACATGTATTAAATATGATCATTTTATTAAGTAATTTCTGAAAGTACTATATTAGATTGTGTAGTATTTTATTCCTAATCGTAAAGATCATGAGATAAATATAATTAAGGAATATTATTGTTATCATCAGAGAAATACCGCTAACAATAAGACATTGTTGATTGGAATCCAGTATGTAAACATGACATTTTAATTTACAAACAGAATAATCAATAACTTTCCAATTATAGCATTCCTGATTTGAACATTCACATCAACCTTATGGAATGCAGTCAGGGTGGGTGGGATGAGAGAACTATCCACCAAAATTGACGTAGCCAACGAAAGTGCAAGAGTGAGACATTTTGTACATCCAATTCCATGGGCCAAAGTGGGGCTGTGTACAGGAAGGTGCGTAGTAGTGTTAGCGTCTTGTGAGGACCCACCTTAAAGTCAGCGAGGATCGCAAAACTTTCGTTCCCACAAACCCGGGGGGGATGGGGGGGAGGAGCGGAGGGGGGGGCGACCATTGCAAACGCTGGAATAGGTTTCACTGCAGCGTAGGGCTCCCTAGCTGAGCAAGCCATCCTGCAGAGTCCCAGACGCTAAACATTCACACAAAACTGCACGTTGGTAAATAATGGTAAATAATATTAAATAATATAAATTAATATTATCGAACCACTCCTGGATGAAGACCTCCCTGTGCCACACATGTCGTAGGGCGCTGTTAATATCACAAATTGGGTTGGTGAAGACGGGGAGCCATAGACGTAGCCCTTATGGTACAGTACAATGGGTTTTCTTGCACTGCTCTCTGCTGACACCTTAGCCGCGTAGCAGCCTACAACGTCTGTATTTATGCATGGTGGTGGTCACCCGTGGGGGGTTGTTTGGCCATACTTCACCATGCTGGTCCGTGTGGGTTGACGAAGGGGGGCGACGCCCTGGGCTGGTTCATAGATCACGTGCCCCCTGATCTTAGCTGTTGGCCAGGAATCCCTCCTCGGGTTGCCAGCTTCGTAGCGCGGTGCGTGAACCACCGCGCCAACCAAAACATGCACCGGTATTGGACTTTTAATTGATTTAAAATAACAACCCTTAAAGCAAGCTTGGTCAACGATAAGTGTGACCTTAGGAATTATTGTGTGATAAAATGAATGGAATTTTGGGAGATTTTGATCGCAGTCCGTTTTAAATTTTGATCGATATATCTTATATACACACACACATACACACAATGTGTATACATTTATACACATCCACTGTGTATACAGAACATAATAGCTGCAAATGAAAATGTGTGTGTATATGTATATCGTATGTAGTAGTACAATTAAAACCGATTAAATTGGAATATTATCTTGAGCTGCAACAAAGGAGTGCCCCATTTCCTTGGGCATTCCTCAGATATTTTTGGTTTTCTGAGCCCTCTGCATAGTTGCTGAAATATAAAAACTAAAACTGAATCATATTGCACACAGTTGTGGTAATGTCCAAAACAAATATGTTCATGACACATTGACCCATTTAGCTGCTGGGACATTGTTCACGTTTTTAAAGATAACTTAAGAAATATATATTACAAAAAGGACAAGCTTACACAATCTCTTCCCGAAAAACATTTGTTTTCTCCTTCCATGTCAGGAACACGTTTAGGTGTCTCTAGCAGTGCTGTACTAAGCAGTAGAGTTGTAACAATTTTGAACCGTTTCACAACCCCTGAAATGAATTGGATGAATTGTTACGATACGGAGTCACGATGCGATTCTAATTATTATTATTTTTTTTACACGGCCGGTGAATGTAGCTGCCACTAGTTGTAACAATGGCTCCGTTACGTACAAAACGTTTCTAAATATAAATTGTTACGGGCGTGAATCGATTATAACGGTTGCATCCGGTGCATTGTCACAACCCCGGTTGAGTCACTTCTTGCCAAGTTTCATCAGGATGGGTCCCATTTAATGATGGATTTGGTACCGATCACGTGGTGGATCTGAATATCAATCCAGTTATCTGCAAGTTCACTTGAAAAACACTTCCCTACCGTGTTCAATAAAGCTCCTTTATTTTAATAATAAGAATACATGTTGACTGCTCGCGAGCATCTCCAGCAATGATGCTTTTGCATTGAAGTTAATTTGAGATAATTAAAGCAAATTTTAGAGTACTGTATTTTTACATTTTAGATAATGGTCCTTTGTGAAAACCATTGACCTGAAGAATTTATTTTCTGCGCAAGGCATTGTGAGTGAAAATGTTAGGTGTTTTAGGTCTGCTTCTCCACTACCAGTAGATCATTAAGAAAATGCAAACTGCTGTATCCATCAGCCAGCTCCTACACGAGATCGTCAGTTTCTGTTAACGAGCAGAGCCTTTTTTTTGCACCCCCTTGATTATCCCAGGTTGTTAAACATGAAAGCACGAACAGTCCTCGGTTTACGTACTCTGTTCTGCAGCTGCCTCTCAGCTACAGCCGAATTAAGATGCCAATTAAGGCCACCTGAACTAGGGACAGTTTATCTGTCGCTGATTTTCACTTGGTGGTGGGGGGAAGCGGAGCTATTTTTTTTCTCTGAAAATGTGGCTTTTACTCGGCTCACTTTGTGGTGTCCAGTCAATCTTTTATTTTCAGAAATGACCTTTAGGGTCGTTGAAGAGATTATAAAAGCACGTGCAACTATTAATTGTGAACAATGGAGATGTTTGATCACGTACAACCAGAACCAACTTGAGTCTCGTGTGGGACATTGAACATCAATCTAAAACGTAAACCCCTCAACCGGTACCGTAACACCTAAAACCAGCAAATGTGGTAAGATGCCTAAAAATACACAATTGTAAAATAGCGTGGAGTGCGATGTGGGGAGAAGTGTACAGTGTAAGTGTTCAGGGATTAATTTCTCTCCACGGTCACGGTGCTACTGGCGGATATAAAAAGCCCCTTCGAAATGTATGTTGTGCCCCAAAGGGAGGATCGACTCCCAGGCCATGTTTAGGCAAGACCCTTTGATAAGCATGTTTGTGGATTTATCATTTATGGCTTGGTGATGCACTTCGCGTCCTTGTGCAGGTTTTTATATATTTATTTGTGTGTACCGCTTGGATGGATGTTTGCTAACGCTGGCCCGGTTAGAATGTGGGCAGCTGCGGTCCAGATACTTAATCGTACTGCTAGACGTTGGCGACACCTTGTGGGATTAATCAGTGCTGCGTCCACCGCACCCTGTACTGTGGCCGTTTCACTGGAGGGTTTTGTGAACATGTGGGTGGTATTGTTGGTATGGCATTAAGCGCACAATTAGAAGGTTGAGAGTTAAACATCTTCGTCAGATGGTTGATAAATTGATAACCACTTTGTGGAAAGTCAATTAAAGTAATTTTTATTTTTTACTAAACGTGAGCAGTGTAGATGAATGCCACCCAGTTGAGTACGGGACACTTTAACTGCTTGTCAGTAAATACATCACATAGCATGTCTTATTTTACTTTTTACAATTAGTCACTTTTTAGATCACATGTGTAAAATGTTTAAAAAACTCGACACGAATAAATTCCCATATTCTAAAATCATATAATGCATGACATTAGTGAATGAATTGAGGTGCCACTCCCCTCCGTGCTTGCTAAACACAGCGCACAAATATTACAGCAAGAAAACGGATCGTGGTCGCGCACGTGCAACTGCTCATGGTTGCACCGAGGCATTTGCCCAGATGAACTTTGGGGGTTGTGTGTTATTGTGATCAGCCGTGTCGCTAGTCTCTACACTGCAACTTAAACTTAACAGGGAGCTAAGTTGCTGCACTTTGTGAGTCGTAACGTTTCCAGATAACGCGAGTGTATGTGGTGTGTTCACATTGTATTTATTATAAATATGAGCGAACGTCTTTAAAACACACGCACTCTTATTGTACATTACTTGCTGGATCTTACTGCCGAACGCATATTGTAGTTATTAAAATTAAAGGACTACCCACCATATAGTGCATTAGCTGATATATATATGTTTCAGGCAATTTGTAATATCTGCTTAATTTAATATATATTTCTCAATATAACACTCCCTGGTGTATATAAATGTATAAATAGGGAGTTTTGCGTGTTGCAATGAGCATATATTTAGGTAGAAATAATTAATGTAATGTACAGAGCCAATCTAGATGACACAACATCAAATGCATAGACATACATTGTAGTGTAACAAAATGTAATTTTGCATAGTTCCACTTGCAATGTTGTTGCCACCTACAAAGGCGAAATGAAAACGATGTTTGTTTGATTTACTCATGGCAGTTTTAAACGATCGCGTGGGAATGCCACCACTGGCTTGGAGCCACCAATAGAGATGACGGATGCCCTCTTGCTCACTTGAGTCGTAGACATTTTGACTGTACGGGTTATATAATAGAAATTGACTTAAAGCAGTGTCTTGGTAAAATGACTTACGTGCAAGTAGACGGTATGTTTGTGTAATGGTAAATAAACCTGACCACGTGATGTATTTGAGTGAGCTTTTCACGTCACTCCCGAATTGTCTCGTGTGAGAGTGTATTGTGCTTTACGTGTTATGTGTATGTGCTTTATGCTGCGTGTAAAGAAGCAAATGTCTACGTTTCTGAACTTTCCATATGGGTTACTCACTTGCAAGCTTTTAAATCTTAATATTTCCCAATTGGTGACTTTTTTTACATCTGTAACTCATATAGGAGACTAATATTAAGGCTGTTTTGAACTCGATTCCCATGATGATGTGTTTTTGTAATTTTGTGTTAAAAGATTTTTCGTAAATAAAAGACCCTCCACCTGCAATATCTGTATAAATATAAAGCACACCACTGGGCTTGTCTGCATATACACATGTAATGTTTTTGACTTTGCCATTAAGTGACAAGGAAAATACTTGTACCATTTCTTCACAGCGTACAAAATGTAGATTATCCTTTTAGTTTCCTCCCACTGAGTATAGGAGCAGCCAGCTGAACCCTGTGGAGGGGAGGTGGGTGGCACGACCCGACTTAAATTAAAAAGTCAGCCTCTTTCCCCTGACATGGTGGTGGTGAATATTCAGGGATGCGTCAGGAGTACAGAACCGTACGTCTACAGAGTCAAATATAACATTGCTTGAACTTCCCCATGTGCTTGGAACAAACGTCTCACTTTGTTTTTACATAAAATTATTGAGCGCTCCTTAACATGTCCCCCCGGGGTGTCACTCAGACGTTAAGTTTGTTATTTTCAAGGTCGCATGCCTTCTGGTTGCATTCATTTGCCTGTTTAACCCATGTGAGACTAGGCTCTAAGGAAAGCTGTCTCGGGTGTGGACCAATCAACTTCAAGGCAGTGCACATTATCAGAGTTATGTTCTTTTGTCTGTATTATGACTGCAGGTATTGCGGTCTATACAAACATGACTCCTTGTAAAAAGGTGTCAGTTTTGTTGCCAGATAGAAGGGTGAAAAACCAATTATCTTGCCTGTTGAACTGAAGCCACTGCGAGTTGATGGACAAACCCTCAATATTCACTGGTGCTCACTGCATTCTAGTGAACTAGCTGTTCTAACCGGGACTTGGATCCACCACGCGCGGCCGCCTTTGTCTTCCCAGTGGCGATGGTTCACACAGCACAGCAGTTACTCGTTTGAGGCTGAGTCGACCTAGGGGAGGCCCAGGAGCGGTTAAAATAATCGTCACCGGTAGTGGCCGTGGGCGGGAATCAAACTCGGGTCGCCGGGTTCGTAACGCAGCGGCGCGCGAACCGCTACACTACAATGCGCTACGCTTCCACGTGCGCGGGTCACATAACAGATTTAACGTCACCGCTCACTTGCCGTGCAAAAAATATATGCATTATTGAGCTCCCCCCCCCCCCCCCCCAAAAAAAAAGTGTATTGTAACAATTTTTGCATAGTGTACAGTCTGGTAAGTACCCACATGGCAAATTTCCAGTTTGTTGCATGTCGGGAAGTAGGCTAAACATTTTGAACAGACTCACACATTCACAGCTTTGCCTTTTATATATATGGAGATACACATGGTCATAGTGGAGGCATAGCCACATAGAAGATGAGGGGGTCCTGAGCTAGCTGTAAATATGAACAGACTAACAGTGACGTTCTCAGCGTTTGACTTCTACTCCAACAGAAATGCGGCAAGAGGAGGGTGTGATCCTACAATTCCTAACCCCTCACTTCTCCGCACACATTTAGTGGCATCCGAACTAATTTCCACACTTATCACACTCGGCTCATGTTTTCACCTTTAAATCGTTTCTGTCTCTGAAGCGGTCTGCGTAGAAGATCAACTTGAAATGCTCGCACGGAGAAATAATTAGCAATAGAGGAGTGCGCGCTGCCTGACCTCCCATGCACGAGGATCAATGTCATCCTTTCATCGTCAGTTTTGAAACCATTTCTCTCTGTATGCCACAAGCATTATACCGTATACAGCACGGTCCTGTGTTAAACTAAACCTCTCTTTTTTATTTGACCAGATGAGGCCCACTATTATTATATTTTGGTACTGGCAAAGGAGGTCTAATGATGTACTCATTACTTTCATAGTGCATTGTCTTTAAGCTGTACGCCTTTTGGCGTCCTCTGGTCGAGCACCAATTGGGTGGAGGCTCAAAAGAAAGCTGTCTCTGGTGTGGACCAATCAGTTTCAAGGACAATGCATATATTATCAGAGTGTGTTTTTTGTTTGCATTTTGACTGCAAGTATTGTGGTTAATGCAGACATGAATCCTTGTAAAAAGGTTTCAGTTTTGTTGTCAGAAAGAAGGGGGGAAATCCTATTATTATTATAAGGCCCACTGAGTTATATAACTCTTTTTCAAAAGCAACCTGGCCACAAATAATAGCTCACCGAAGTGGCTTATCATGTGGACATTTGAATCTGATGGCGGCACCCCGGGGGTTACCAAAGAACCCCGGCTCTCGCATAATGTCTGTGATGCAGTAATTTTTAGTCTGCTGATGGTAGGCGATGCGGCAATCGACTCATCTCGACGAGCTGTACACGATGCACCACCACGGTGCCACGTGCGAGCGGTTAGGGTTTCAGCGCAATCGTCCTCGCTGCGTTTCGACATCGCGGAGTGTGGCACTGATGTCGGATTGATTGGTACCCCAGTCGCGGAGTGAAGTACACCCCTGGAAAAAAAAGTGTCCCAGAAATAAAATATTGAATTGCCTCGGTCATTTTTTATTATTTGGAACCCCGGGGTATCGCCATAAGGATCATTTATGGCAGGCAAACACTCCAAACGCGCGTTTCTAAATGTGTCAGGAAAAGCCGGAGGACCCGGAGAAAAATCCATGCGACCACGGGGAAATGAGACACGCAAACTCCAAATATACAACAGGCGCCAGGGTCGGATTCGAACCCGCGAACCTCCTGCATACTAGGCACGGAAGAGAAGGGGCCGTCCATAAATGACGTCACGCGATTTTTGACGATTTTTGACCCCCCCCCCCCTTCGTCACACTGCGTCACAAAAAGTCAGACCCCCCCCCTCAAATATGACGTCACAAAGATATGCCCCCGCCCCCCAAAAAAATAAGACGTTTCAAATCGCTTTAAACTATTGTCATTGTAGTGCGCATTTAATGTGGCGCTGCACTCTGATGTTGTAGGAGAAAACATTTATTAAAAAGTCTTTAATTAAGTAGAACGTGTTGTCTATATTTATTTAAAGTTGCGAATTTTGATGTGACGTCACATTTCTCAACCCCCCTCCCTCCTCGTCACACATCGTCACAAATGTCTGACCCCCCCTCCCTCCAAGGTGCGTGACGTCATTTATGGACGGCCCCTAACGTCTCACCACCGAGTTGCCAAAGTTTCAAAGGTTCTCGAATTTCCGCTCCCTGCTGCACATTGCCAGCGATCGAGTAATTTACCGGTGTGGAGAAAACACTACGTCTCAGCAGTTCGAGTCAACGCCTTCATTCATACGGCCCGTCCAATAGGTCGTCAACCGAGGAGATGGAGTGATGAAATCAATTCCCGTGCAGGTGTTGGGCGGATTGTTACTTCGCTGCGTCGTGAGAGTTGGAGGGGGGGGGGTCCTTAATCCAGCAGTGGATTGGGCGTAGCTGATGATGACCGAGTTGAATCCTATTCAGAAATACAATGCGTCGTTCAAATGAGCAATGCTGTAGTTTATCTTCTTAAGAGAAAGGTTGCAATAACACTTCGGTGGGCTTACTTGGCGTTGATGGCACCGGGCAATGAAATTGACTGTGGTGCCAGCTGGAAATGCTCAGGTTTATCACGTGTTGTGTATCGAGTACCGTTTATTCCTGTTAAAGATGTTTCTGCCTTGCACAAATAAATGTAAGCCTCGTTGTTACATCGGACATGTCAATCGTGTTTAACAAAGTTACGTGCGTGGTCACATTGCTGTTTGTGCAAACAATTCAATGACATAAAACTTTCGTGACTGCAGGGATTCATATTCTTTGTTCTTTCGGTAAAGTCACGTAGAAGGGAAATAATAAAATAATAAAACATTAACTAATAAAAAATATATTTTATAAAAAGAAACATATTTTATAAAACAAATATTTAATTGTTTTATATTTTTATTATTTTATTATTGATTTTTGTTTTGTTTTATTATTTCCCTTCTACGTGACTTTACCGAAAGAACCAAGAATACAATTTCACGACCCTTCTGTCAATTTCATCATGTATGAATAGATGCACTCCTGTGCTGTGTATGTACAATAACTCCCCTTTAGTATTCGTGTTATGAGGTTTATTTACCCAAGATAACCTCGTTGAGTCTCAAGACTTGTTCAGGAGGGTCCTGCCAAGTTTTCGCAGTAGGGGGGGGCGACATTGCTGTATGAGTGTATGTCATCTTAATTTGGTGTTTTGCGGGTAATTTAGAGAGCATTGGGATGCCAACTGCATTGTATATCGTTTTAGTGATGTGAGGAAATCAGAGAACTCGCAGCAAACCGATGAAGAAAACTGTGTTTAGTTTGTTGTCCTTCCCCGCACCTCCCATTAGCACGGTTGGCTACGTACGGTACGAAAGAAGTTCATAATACAAAAACAGGGGCAGGGGGCCGTCTATAAATGACGTCACGCGCCTAGGGGGTGGGGGATCAGATATTTGTGACGATGTGTGACGAGGGGGGGGGGGGGGTTGAGAAATGTGACGTCACATCAAAATGCGCAACTTTAAATATAAATATAGACAACACGTTCTACTTAATTAAATAGACTTTTTGATAAATGTTTCTCCTACAACATCAGAGTGCAGCGCCACATTAAATACGCAATTTGAAGCATGTTTTATTTGGGGGGGGCAGAGCTTTGTGGAGTCATATTTGAGGGGGGGGGGTCTGACTTTTTGTGACGCAGTGTGACAAAGGGGGGGGGGGGGGGTCAAAAATCGTCCAAAATCGCGTGACGTCATTTATGGACGGGCCCCAGGTGCCCGATTCTGCAATCGAACCCAGGAATGTGTCTTCCTGTGAGACAGACGTACTGGCACTAAGCCTTGTTTTGCCATCATCATCGGGTTGATGTGACCATTCTTCACATTATACCGGTTTGGTGAAGGCACGGCAGGTGTGGGAGGTGTAGGGTACCAGGACTAACCCATATGTTGACTCGCCACTGATGTTAGCCGTTGCAATGTTTATGTCAACGACTACGCCGCCGCTCCACCACAGATATCAGTGTGTAAGGAATGCATCTCCAATTCTATAATGGCAGTCAATGGACAAAACGGATCGATTTACGGAGTTTCGCTTGACAGACAACTTTTCAGGAACGTTATCTGTTCCGTATATCGAGGAGTGCCCTGTGTATGTAACTGCCCAACGCTGTGATTTTGTGACTCGCGCCGGCTGTGACTTGGGACAATGGGGGGACGTGAAGCCATGTAGACAGGTCCGTCATGTGCAGTATACGTGGTACTGTATTTATTATTTTGAAATAAAGACTGGAACAACACCACGTGGTGTTGTTGTTACAACAAAACCACGTGTTGTTGTTGTTACAACAACATGTGGTGTTGTTCCAGTTTTCATTAATAGGTGCTCACTAACACACATGTTGTTCCTGTCTGTAATACAGGAGGTGCTAATAGTGCCATGGGCCCTCCCGTATACTGAAATTGAAATGCGTCTAAACCACTGTAACGGTATAGCTAGCTGTTGGTCAATATATCGTCCACGTCAATACACATATTGTGTGTTTGTGTGCGTTCTGACACAAAAGTAGAAGGTTGTCAGTTCAAATCCTGCTGGTTGGGAGGTTGACTCATCATCATCATCCCTCCCTCCGGAGTCGATACAATGAGTAACACTTTGTCGGGAAGTCAGCAGTGATTATCTTATGGAGAGACTCCCCCCCCCCCCGGCTATAGGAATGTGGAATTCCCGCCGGCCACTTTCTCTTGGCTGTTGATAGGAGATGAGTATCAATGCCTCGATACACAATTTAGCAGAACTACTCTCTGGCACATGCGCGTGTGTTTGTACCAATGGCAAAAATACAACACAATGACTGCTGTGTGATGGGGCTGGGGGAGTCCGTTTTTTGATGTGGGTAATCATCTGAGTTGCGGCTCTTTCCGCTGTAAATGCATTTCTCATCCGAGTCCGTCCCGTGACAAGGATGCCACGGGTGGGGTGCAGGGTGTGGGGGTGTGGGGCCCCAAACTCCAGTAGCCTCCATCCATCTCCTCCATCCACTCCCCCTATCACTCTCCTCCCCACCACCACCATCATCGTCAACAGCAGCCAGACAAACAGCACCCCGCTAACTTGCATCCTCTCGCCCTCCAATTATTCCTCCTCCTCCCAACATCTATCCCTCCCAGTTTCCTCCTATCCACACTTTGGCAATCTCTCCATCAAACATCACCGGCGGTCAGACGAACCGCGCCCATAAATTTCCACCCTCTCTCCCTACTACCCACTCTCCCCCCACCCCCATTGTCTCTCTCCTATTCTCCACCACCTCCTCCTCCTCTCACGCTCCATCATCGTCAGCGTCAGAAGCAGCGGCCAGAGGAGGCAATCCCGCTAACTTTGGCCGTTTGTGGTGGACAACATCACGGCCCAGCAGCGAACGTTCACAACAATCACCGCTGCGTCAATAGTTGCAGAGAGCTCGGTCGTTTTTTGTGGGGCTATTGTCATCACCAGTAGATTTTTGTTGTTTGTTACCAAGCTCGTAATTTGTTTTTATTGTCGAGCGCGCATTTACGCATTTTAGAAATATATACACGTGCTGTGGTATGTATGCTGAACTTCTTTCGCGCCGTACGTAGCAAATCGAGCTAATCGGAGTTGCGTATAAAACATCTTACACGCGCCCGTTGCGTATTCGCGTTGGCAAACTCAAGAGAGACACAGACCGTGGGCATGGCCAACTCCGTGCTCTTCGGCCAGTGCGCTGCCTACGTACTGGCAATGATCTTCGCCTTCTTCGTGCTCGTGCCACTGGCACAGAACGGCAACGACTTCAAGGGTCGATGTCTCCTCTACACGCAGGGCGCCTGGCAGCGTCCCAACCGCACGCAGCTTGCACGGCACCGGTTACCACCGCCACCGCCTCCGACGGTTTCTCTCATCATGCGGAAGAAATCTGAAGACACCGAACCGACCGAGCAGCCGGAGCAAAACCAGCAGGATCGTGATGACTACGACGTGGATTACTTTATCGATGGAGTGGCTGAGACTAAGGGAGGAGGAGGAGTGAGATCCTTCGCTCGTGCACTCCCGCCCCTGACCTCCCTGGCCGAGTGGGTCACCGGTGATGCGAGTTTCGTGGTGGCCATGTGGGGAGCCCCTTCTGCCTGTCAGTTCGCGACGTTCACCGGGATCGTGTCGCTCCTGCTCGCCGCCGTGCAGGCGTGGAGGACCATCTTCTACCAATGCAAGGGCCACGACGAGTGAGTAAAGGGAGGTGACTGCTGCTGATGATGATGCCTCGTCACAATGCGCGCGGGTTGTTCTCGTGCCACTGTGCGCCTCCCGTGTCTCTGTTGACCGCCCCTGATTGAGCGCAGCGGCGGAAATTCCACGTTACGGTGTTTGTTGTTGTTGTCACAGTGTTATAATGGCAGGGCCCAATTCTAGACTGCATAGGACAACTACTTTTAGATGGTATATGTTTTTTCTTATTGTATAAAATGTGTATTGTTAACGTTGTAAGAGTGTTATTAATGTGACGGCGCTTTTTAGTTGGCAGATTTGTGCCAGTATTAGGCACGCCACGTGTTCTTTTCAGCATTAATAAAATAAAATGACTCGTGACTTCCTAGGAAAAGTGTAAAGTGGTACCTATCTATAGACTTTGTTGTGTAGTATTTTTTTTGTATTACTTTATAGTATAAATACATGCTAATTTTGATTAATATGGTTTTTTTCTGACTTTATGTGAACGAAAAGACATAAATTCGCCAATTTTCTCATTGAAAAATAGGTAAATTTCTAAATATCACTGTCCTGGTCACAAAAGCAACGTTTGTGGGGAATAATAGCCATTTTCTATACTTTTTAGGCATAAGCAATTACGAAATAACATTTACTACCCAGGAACCAAAATTGTGTTACATAGTGTAATCGAAAGGTGTGTTTGTGAAACCACATCAAACTCCTATTAAAATTAATCTATGCCTCGAGTTTCCTGGCTGGCTGCTGGCTGGGCTCCTGTTCACCCCAACAATAACTGTTGTTAGTGGCTGCCACGGAAACTAGCTGGGTAACTGGCTACGTGGGCAGGTATGGCAGCCCATCAAACGACTACGGTATTAATAATATATCATGATGATCTACACCTCGAGTTTCCTGGCTGTCTGCTGGCTGGGCTCCTGTCCACCCCAACAACGACTCTGTTGTTAGTGACTGCTGCGAGCCATTGCCACCGAAAATATCTGGGTAACTGGCTTCACGGGATTTTCTGTGGAACAAATAAACATTGCATTGCATTGAAACGGCGGAAGGAGACGTTCAGAAGACGTAACAATCATAGCAATAATAATAATAGCCACACCGAAAAGGTGGGAGTAACGAAGACAAAAGACTAACCACGGTTCATTTTGAATCGCTCAAACTTTTACATTTGTCCTATTATTATTATTTAACAGAATATTTTTTTAAGTGTAGAGAATATAAAACAAAAATAACCTCACGATAAATATTATCTTGGAATTTCAGTTCGTAAAAATGTTTGATTACCTTTAGTGCTGTGGGTACAGGAGGATTGTGAGAAGAGTGAAAATCGTAGCTATCTCGTATTGTCCGTTGCAGAGGAACGGGTTCTCGACAAATCTTGAATTAAAGCTTTCGTGACTGCAGGAATTCATATTCTTTGGGTCTTTCGGTAAAGTCACGTAGATAGGTTTAAAGAAAATAGCGAAAAACGACGACGTTTCGATCACGACACAATGACGATCGCTTGTGTTGTGATGGAAACGTCGCAGTTTTTTTGTTAGTTTCTTTCCACCTATCTACGTGATCTTTGGGTCTTTCGGTAAAGCCACGTAGATAGAAAAAATCAAAATAACAATATCACATTTCGATCGCAACACAAGCAATCGTCATCTTTTTTTTTACCTGATGACGATTGCTTGTGTTGCGATCGAAACGTCGTGATATTGTTATTATTTTTATTATTTTTTCTTCTATCTACGTGACTTTACCGAAAGACCCAAAGAACAGGGTTCTCTACAGTTCGTATAACTTTATAGACTCTGGCCACAAGCTATCCTGGGCGTCCCATTATCCGGAAAATGTGGCACAAATTGAAATTTGGCTGCAATTTTAAAGCACAACCACATGATGCCAATATTTTCCAAGTCACTGCACATGAGAAAAACAAAGACTGGCACACAGATGCATATTAATAGTAGCGGAGATAACATCTATGACTTCATGCGATATCAATCATGGCAAATATAATTCTCATGTGACTAGCCTGGAGCTGATTAGACACAACATTGTGATTTTTTTTTACCAAGACCTCTATAACATACATTGTGTGCGCTTCAAGGCACTTAAAGTTGCAAAATAGAAAAATTCAGAACCTCTGAAACTTTCATTGAATGTTTTTCTACCATGTTCAACAACGGAAGGATGTATGCTTAATTGCTATACCACAGTAGCTATTCCAAATTAACCATTCAAAGAGTCCCAGATGTCATGTGCCACGTGGGATCAAAACACGAATGTGTTGACATTTGGCAGTGATGGGGTTGTAATGCACTCTGCTGGCTGCTGTGTGGTTTTTTTTATGTCAGTCTGTAGTGTTGGACAGCTGCGTCTGTGTCTTGTATGTACATGTGTTTAGATCACTTCGATTATTTTTCCTGCTATAAATTTCCACGTGAAAGGCCACTTCGTTGAGCTATCATTTGTGGATGGGTTGCTTCTGAAAAAGAAGCTAATAGTTCAGTGGGCTTTACCTGGTAAGATTTTAAAAAATTGTAGTTGTATTTGTATACTTTTAAGTGATTTGTTTACCTTTCCTATACTTTGCACTCCTTTCGTGTTTTTGTATTGTTTGCTGTTGTAACGTTCTTATCTGTCCCTACTGGACATCTGAAAAAGAGCTTTATAGCTAATCGGATTCCTCCAGTTTAAATTAATATTTAGATTCTGTTTGTGTGTACTGTACACAAAATGCAGTTGACAACAATGGCATTTAATTGCTGGGGTTTGAAACGAGGTGTACCCAGAGAAAAACCTGAATACAAGGGGATAGTAGTCAGAGGGGCTCACAAACAGGACCGACCTGCCTGGAGAATAAAAGTACAGGACGGTGCAGTCCTCTGTGAGAGTAGGAGAAGCTCCTGTGCCTATCTTGAAGAGGCAGCAGCGCAAATCTACCAAGGAAGGACGTGTGGCTGCACCTCAGGGCTCTACATCCTCCCTGACCTGTCCAGTGTGCCACAGAGAATGCCGGGCTCTGATTGGCCTGCTCAGCCATCTGTGCACTCATCAAAACCCAACAAAATGACGAAACGTGCCATGGTCATCATCAACGTTGATGGACGAACAAGAAGAAGAAGAAGTAGTCAGAGGGGCTCGCAAACCAAGTTTCTGACGAGCCTCGTCCACCAACCCTTGCCTGCCACATTGCTGCATTGTGAGCATGTGCCACCCAGTGCCGGATTAAGCTAGTGCAGGGCCTGTAGCACATGTTATAAAGGGGCCGTAAAAATTTTAAAACACGTAAATATTAAAACACTAACTTTTAACTTCCATAGTAAGTAATGAAAAAAAATCATTTGCTATACAGCCAGATAATCCGACAAATCGCTAACCTTAAACACCCAGTCGTTCATAAAAGTTGAAGGCAGTATAGTACTATAGTAATAGAGCAAGTGCAGAATCACTGAACCGGAATTGATAGCTTGAAAGCATTTAGCGCGGGGCCCTTGAAAGTGCGAGGCCCGTATCATATGTTGCTACTAGGACAATCCGGCACTGGTGCCACCTCAACTTTGCTTGAGCATGTGTGCACTTAGTGCACCTAGCCTGGCCACAACAGCTGTGGTGACGTCACCACCGCCACTTTAGTAGCAAAATCCGCGGCTGTTGTTGTAGTTGCATGCATATGTGTGTCTGTGTGTGTGTTTGCAGCACCCTCTTTGCGGCGTTTCTCAACCTGGTGGGCAGCGGCCTGGTGGCGATGATGACCTTCGTGGCAAGCACGGTGGTGAGCGTGGGTTTCAACGTCTGGTGCAACAGCATCGCCATTCCGGGCGGCAAGCCTGACAGGTGTGAGGCCACACGAGGAAAAACAAAATCGACGTAAACAAAAAAAAGACTTACCAGGGTACATCGTGTGCCAGCAGAGCGCAGTCTGGAAAAAAAATACTCAATTGTTGTACGGTACGCCTATGCTTCCATGTCTTTGCTCTCCGTCTTCACCAAACCACACTGACCAGCGTGGTGAAGTGTTGTGAAACAACATCTATGACCCGTATGGTGTAAGTAGGCCCTTATTCGGCAGTTGATTGGCCAAAGGGCAACAAAATACGGCAGAAATCCACAAATTTGTACTCTAATAATCCACGAATCTTTGTATTTCGCGGAAGTGAACAATGAATTAACCCCATAATGCTTACCTAGTAATTATCAAAGATTATGAACTGCCTGCATCTCTGACTCCAGTGTGCTCACCGTTATACTACACACTGCAGGCCCCTATAATTCCCTCCCAAACCCTAGTGTGAGACACGGCATATCCGCTCACGATCTTTAGAGGACACGTCGTTTATCCATGTAAATTGCTGTTGATGAGCTTGGACCACAATGTCCAGGACTCATGTTGATGAGAATACCCGTGTTTTCACCCGACGTCATGTAACGTGCATTGAATTTTTGTTTGTCTACAGCTGTGAGGAGGCTCAAGAAATGAACCTCAATATGGATGTCATTACAACTTCCTTCTACACGCACTTCGGGGTAATCCAGGTACAGGATTTTCTAAGACAAAGTAATTGATTTTCGGGATTGATTACACGTAACAATGCTTTCAGCAGATGCAAGAAGCTGCCACGTGCGGAGATGAAATGGAAGTGCCAATACCTGTATTCATACTGGTTTAGAACCGTGGCTGGGAAAAACAAAATCAATATTACAGGTCTATTGTTTTTTTACATTGTAAACTGGCCTACTGCATTCTCATATCACAACGAAGACAATTGTTTCATCTGTATGCAATTTGAAACGTAGCAAAGCCTACACTAATTGCACCAAAAGTGAGACTGCACCATCGTATATGTTATTCATCACCGAGATTCGCAAAAGATTGTTGGGTTAGGCCACCTACCCGTCTGGCCAAACGTACACCGAGGAAAGTCCTCCTCCACTCGACATGCACCCTAACAGCTCAAAATGTCACGCGGCGCTACAAATAACGTATGTTTGTTGAACTTCTTTCACACCGTACGTAGCCAACCGTGCTAATCGGAGGTACAAGCATTTGCAAACATTTATAAGGCGCCAATCATAATTGTTTCGGCTGCCTCACAGAAACAATGCAAAGTGGGGTTTTAAGAGTCGCAGAAAAATTCCCACAACCACCATTATAAATTAGACAGTTAAATATTATTATTTTTAGTAACTAATCTTAAAAGTATAGATAACAAAGGGAATTGTTAGGATGCGAATGGATTTATGAGGAACAATAACAAGAAATTGCCCTTTTGTTTCTGCGTACAAAATGGCAGCCGAGACAAAATGGTGACCACTCTGCAGCAGCGCTGCACGTTTATCACACCGTCCGTTTACACGTAGCTTTTAGAAACGCACGTCGGCTGACATCAGCAGGGCCAAGTCTCCAGTCCCGCTCTCATTCATGTCAGCTGCACACACTTACCGTGTGCGTTTTGGGAAAAGACACTTCCGATACGATAATGTGTTTGTACCCAGTGAGTTCGTTACCATGTGTTTTGAAAGGAGGGTAACAATCGACGCAAAATTGATCTTAGGAGTCGCACATCTGTCCTCGTGTGTGCCTAGAAAGCACTGAGAGTGGCCACATAGTGATGCATTAGAGATGGCCCATAACACCATCGAAAACAGTTGAGTGATTTTAAATATTCATGGATTCACAGAAGGGCCACAGCTGAAAGCTTTGAAGTTACTATCTGACAAAGGATGTCATGTCTACGTAAAAAAATATATCAATAATGTCATGAGGTGGAATGCAACATTTTGGTCTTTCTACGTAAAAAGATGTGCTAACCTTCTTCATCTTGACTTTTCGAAAGCTATTATAATCGCAGTATTAACGTGGTGTTTACATTCAGACTCCCTACAGTGACGATGTGCATGCAATAATTACAGCCAATTTCAACCTAAATTGCTTGGAATAAACAATTCAGCCAATTTAGGACCAGAGAGATCATTTTAAAGAATACCTGGCCCCTGTCATGGGAATGTCGAATTTCCACCACTCTCTCAGGGATGACAATTAAGATGACCATCACACCTTTGTTTTTTTGAACAGAGAGACTGGACGTGACTTGACCTCTACTCCCTCAACCCCTCCTGGATGTTTAACCTGCGATGGTCAAGCAGTTTGTGGGTGGAGTCCAGCCGCCAACTCCATTATATCTCCACCCTCTATGTATTTTGAACTTCCTTCACACCGTTGTAGTCAACTCCTCTAATCGGAGGTTCCGGTGAAGGACAACAGACAAAACACAAAAAGCAGTTCTAAAAAAATGAGTTTTCAATCTCGATGATTTAAAAGTGCGTAGCTCCAGTGGCTTTCGAATATTGGACGGAAGAACGTTCCAGACGGCCGCAGAAGCACATCTGAATGCGCGCGATGCAATGACCTGCTTTGTTCGATGGTTAGCCAAAAGCTGCTGCAGGGATGACCAAAGTTCGCGCGATGTTTTTTTCTCCTTGACGAGATCCACAATGCATTGCGGTTCAAGCAAGGTATTGTGGTTCACCGTTAACCCTAACCAACTAGCCAACTAGCCACGATCACTACTCCTCACACTGCCCTGAACCCCACCCTTAACCCCGCATTCAGTACCTCTCAGGGCACCTGCTCGTTATTTGTTCACCTCTCCACTGTTGGTGTTTGCAGCGCCCATCCCTCTGTCAGTCCCCAGGAGAGTGTGGGCACAGTCGGTCGATTACTTTGGTTTTATTTTACCGGTTAAAGCCCACTGAGCCACACAGCTCTCTTTCAGAAGCGACCTGGCCACAAGCGAGTGGCTCATTCGTCACGTGGACATTCTATAGGCAGGCAAATACTCTCAACTAACAGCCTTCTGCCCCACAGTTCGGGCTGTGGTGCGCGTGGCTCACGTGGGTGGCCCTGGCTGGTCTCGCCTTCGCCAAGGTCTACCGCAGCCACCGACAGAGCGACCTCCTGCACAGCCTGGCGCGCGAGAAGGAGCTTCTGATGAACCGAGCGGTGACGAGAGGCGGCAGTGCAGGGCCCACCTCGGCCGAGCGACGCCCGGCGGCTCAGGCGGGTGACAAGCAACCCAGCGCGTTCATCTGAGGAGCGCCGCCGTGGGGCGGAAACACGCGCAGCTCGCTTGCGCTTTGCTGCCCGCTAACGTTCCTAAAACGTGTGTGTCTGTGTGGAATGATGACGATCATGATGATGATAATCACTTAATTCATTCGATATATTCGAGTCATTATAAAGCAAGGCTATAATGAGGGCAGCATGTTTCATGGATGGATGTATTGTAGTCTGCCAGTGAGGGGGGCAATGTTGATAGTTTTACTAAATTAGGCGATTTGGTCATTTTTAAATGTGAACTACGTGTATCGATTCATTGATTAAATTAAATTATTGCGCTCGTGATGCAGGCATCGAATTGTGCGTTCAAGAATCGATAATTGATAATTAATTGATATTTGATGAGAATCGATAATCGTTCAATTCGTCTACCATGTGGTGGGTTCACGTGATCCCTGCTATGACGAGAGGCCTCTACAATCGCCACAACCGAAATAAAAAATATGAATTGGCTGTGTCGAGTGGGGGAGGGTTTTACGACACATTTTACTTACGTGATGCGACCAAAAATACTTTATGAATCATCATATTGTGCATATTCTCTGGGGAGCACAATAATATAAGGCTTTGAAATAAGCCGATTTGTTTGGTTTAGTATGATTTTTTTTGCATCTTGTTTTCAATTTTTTTTTACCGCTGCTTGCATGTGAGCACAGCACAGTGCCGTAGGATAACAGGTCAAAGCAGGCGTCCTACTATCTGCTGTGATATGTAGTTTAGAAACGTGTTCGTTAGCAACAAAAACGTGGAACAGGAAGTAAAAAGCGTGTCTACCGTGGAGAAATGTATGCCTGTAATTACATTTAGAGAGACGGATGAACACGTGGATTCGTGAACATACACAAGTTATATTGACATGCATTCAAACTGTCAAGGAAAGTGAGTGGGTTTTGGGCAGGATGTGTTTTTAAGAGAGATGATGGCTGATGATCAAGAATATTAACAGAGTGGCACACAAGGAATGGAAAATATCTGGGAGGAAGGACATATGCCAAGGTGGTTCGTCCGTTTGTTCGTTTCTCAATCCGCTTATCCTGGTGAGGGTCGCGGTGGCAGTATGTTGAGTAGTGGCGGTCCAGACCTCCCTTTCCCTGTCGCCGGACTCCAGCTCTTCCTGGGGAATTCCCAGGCGTTCCCAGGCCAGCCGAGTGACATAGTCCCGCCAGAGTATCCTGGACATGCCCGGTAGAGTTCCAGGGGTAGCCTACCAGGGGAGGCATCATTACCAGGTGCCCGAAGCCGTTTTTATTCATAAAAAAACATTGTGAGGACAGGAATTAAACCTGGGTCACAGGGATGCTTAATTGCGAGCACTCACCACATTAAGAAACATGTCTTTAGAGTATTTGGCTGACATCAATTTCCACGTGATAAGCCACCTTGTTGAGCTATCATTAGTTCGCTTCTGCAAAGGGCTATAAAGTTCAGTGGGCTTTACCTGGTAACCTAAAATAATAGTTGCGTTTAAATAGTTTCGTTTAGTCACCGCAAGCGGTGTTTAAGTGTATCATCGTTCATTCTCGTGTACGGCAGCAGTTGGGTTGTGGCACCTGAGCACGACCCGTAAAATAAAAATAAAATACCAGTCGCAAAGTGCACTGCGGGAGTTGTGGTCCATGGCGTGAAGCAACTTGTAGGCGCTGTTAGAACGAAGCCAAGCTATGTACACTTCTTGCCGAGGAATGTCAGCCCTGTCATCCGTTCGGGGTGGCAAGCACAGCGTTAAAACTTCGCGTAATTCGTTACGTCGTGCAAGCGTTTTAAATGAAACTGGAAGATAAATGACACAGTCTTGGACTATTTTAAAAAAGTGTGACAGCATGAAGTAGACTATGCATGTGGCTGTATTTTTTTTAAAATAATATCGGAACACATAATCCTTTGCAGGGTCTCACACTACTAATTGCAATTCAACAACATAACCCAACTGCTGTATAATGTTAGTTTGCATTACAGTAGAAGCTGGATATGAGGGGCACATTTTACAAGCTCAGTTCTAATATAAGCAAAACTGTCCTTTGCATTGGTTGGGGGAGGTGAAGGATAACTACTGATACAAGCACTCTACTCCGGATATAAGCACGTGTGCTGGCTCCCAAGGGGATGTGCTTATATCAAGCTACCACTGGATGTCATAAGTGTCTTATTTTAAAAGTGTAACATGTATTGACTTTATTTTACTCGTGAGGATTGTCAGGCAGGCGATAACTTTCCTGCCTGTTACTGAAATACAGACATATATTTTAATGGCCAAAATTAGCATTTCCTCTTTTTAAGCCCTGTTACCAAGTATTGTGCTTATGACATAATTACGTTGTGAGATGTACCTACGTGGCTATGTACTTGTCGTGATTTAGCACGACACTTAATAGTTTGACAGTATTACAATTATTTTCATCGCTCATATTACTGTATCAAATTATACACCTTAAACTCGCAAAGTGCAGCGCCGTCTCGCTTTCGACTTGCCAAGTGTCAGCTTCTTTAGGTTTTTAAGGCTAACGATTCAAAATCACCGCATGCTATGAGCATTAAGTTCGCCTTTTAGTAGCCATCGTTCATGACTCCGTCTTCGTTTGGAATGCAATGAGCGTCACTGTCAAGCCGATTAAAACAATAACAAAACTGCACAAATTGTGACGTTGTGTTTGATGTGTGTTAAAATGTTATGGAACTGGGAAATTCAATGGAGGTTAAACAGCAATAATCGCCCTCCCTCGCGATGTTAACTCCCTCGCCTAGTATGCAAGAGGGTCGTGGGTTCGATCTCGATCCCGACGGATTTATATTTGGAGTTTGCATCTCTCTCTCTCGCTCGCTCCGTGATCGCGTGGATTTTTCATCGAGTCCTCTGGTTGTTTCCCTCCACATTTCGAAACGTGCGGTTAAAAGAGTATTTGGCTGAATTCGATTTAAAGCTTTCGTGACTGCAGGGATTCATCTTCTTGGTTCTTTCGGTAAAGTTACGTAGAAGGGAAGTAATAAAATAAAAAAAAAAACATAATAAAATAATTCTCACGACGTTTCGGCCACAACACAAGCAGCCGTCCTCAGGTGAAGACCAGGTCTGTCGAGGCGACAGCGTCTAAATGAAACACCACCACGCTTGGAGCGTCTTTTTAAGCTGGGTTGGAAGGGGGGGGGGGGAAAGTGCGCCTTGACAAAAGAATCTGCATATCAAGAGGAATTTAGCATATTTATGGGAAATGCAGGAATGCGACTAGTACTACTTGTGAAATGCGTAGGAGGTGGGCGGGGGGGTTTTCAAAGTCATATTATGCCCATGCATTATGCAGGATTAGCAGCATCAAAGGGAGGGGAGTATTTGGCTGCTATACATTTCCACGTGAAAAGCCAACTTCGTTGAGCTATCATTTGTGGCCAGGTCGCTTATGACAAAAAGAGCTGTACAGCTCAATGGGCCTTTCCTGGTAGAATAAAATAATGTGTTTTAGTTTGAGTGTAGATGAATGACCCAGGTCACACTCTTGCAAATGAGACGCATCCTGGTCTCTTGAGGTCTCACCTTCGTAATAAGCAAAATACGCTTCAAACTGTCTTTTCTTGGATTTTCTGTTTGCACTTAGTCACATATTCACTTTAAGATGTTTCATTGTTAATGATTTTGTTTTTTGTTTGCTGCGGTTGCACCCATTTCAAGAGCCGAATGGGTCACAGGCCTATACCTAATCAATGAACTTGAACTTGAGGTGGGTGGGGGTGGATACTCGTGAGTAATATCATGGACAGAGCTGCATGGAAAGCCATTCTCGCTGACTTATTTGAGTAAGGACATGGCACGTAGAGACGGCTCGTGAATTACACTGCCGTATTAGGCTCAAAATAGTGCTTTAACACCTTTTAGAATTAGCCCTGATTCGAATCAAACTCAGTGAGTTGGGGGGCCATCTCTACACCAGGTCCCAGAACACTCATTACACTCATCACGCATAAATTGCGTGCCACAAATGAACCACAATAACTTGCTGAACTCGTAAAAGAGCATAAACCATCACGCGAGCTCCGCTCATCCTTCGCAGAAGCTTTTGGCTCAGCCATCGAACAAAGGCGGTGGTCACCGCATCGCGTGCTTTCAGATGCGCTTCTGCGGCCGTCTGGAACGCTCTTCCTGTCGATATTAGGAAGCCACCGGAGCTATGCGCTTTTAGATCTAGATTGACAAACTCATTTCTTTAGAACTGCTTTGTGTGTTTAGTTTGTTGTCCTTCACCTCCGATTAGCGCGGTTACGCTACGTACGGTGTCAAAGAAGTCCAACACGCCTCAACTGAGGCGTCTTTGACTTCAACATTGCAGATAGTTTCAACAGAGAGCCAAATTTCCCTTTTATTCTTTATTAATATCGTGTTAATAATAAAATGATAAGACAGTTATAGTCCCTTGCAATCAACTGCTGAGTGAAGACCTCTCCCCAATGCCGTGTCAACTATGTGGGGTTGTTCGACCATACTTCACCACGCAGGTCAATGTGGCCAGGAATGAAACGAGATTAATTCGGTATACAACAACTGCACCCATAATGAGCGTATCGGGAACAAAACCAACTGCACAGCACTGATGATGGTGCCATTCAAAATGTTTAGTTTCTTAAGAACATGGGGGAAACTGCGCTACTAAATCTCACCAATAGGTGGGAGTACAGGGCAAAACAAGATCAATTATCTTTCGAATCCTTCAACAACCCATTTCCTCTCCCAACAATTGTCCAGCCTCCCACTCCAACATCTCTCCCACCCGCACGATCTCTCCCCCTATTGCCCACCCTATTATTTTCTAACTTGTCCTAGGGATAAACACGGATAAGTTCGCTCCTCCGGCAGGCAAAGGTGTGTTGGATCATGTAGCCAAACATCTCCAGCCACCGCATGGGGCCCTGATGAGAATTACATTTGAGTTCCCCGTGTGTTTATCACGCTCTGCCTTAACTCAGTATTTCCGCTGTTCCTCGTGTACCGTGGAGCGTTGCCCTCGGTTCTACGCCTTCGAATGTTGAAGCGCCTACCTCGTGTTGATTTTTTAAAAAATGATTCTTGTTGTTCTGTATTTGTATTTACTGGCTAACGATGTGACATCTATCCTAAGGTACCCCGCGGGTCTCTCTTGTAAAGCAGCCTATGGGCTGAACGTTACCCACCCGCGTCACGAAGTAAAACTGACGTGAACTGAGGTTTTTGTTTTTACATGTGGGAAGAAACCAGATAACCCAGAAGTCCCCGTGCAGAACAGAGGAAGAACACACAAACTCCACGAGTAAAGACGCCCTAGGCAGAAATCGAACCCAGGGTTCTTGCTGTGAGCCACAGGTGTTACCACCTCGCCACCCTGCCACTCACTTAACGCTTCCTATTTGCGTTTGTTTCTTAATCCATGTGTCTGTCGGTCTACTTACACAACCGTGCTAATTTGCACACGTGATTTTTCTTATTCTGGCTGTTACGATACATCTATCAAAATAGATTACAAAGCATTCATTAAATCGCACTGGAAAAATTCATACATGCCGTACGGAGTGGAGTGCGTTGAAGTTTCCCTCTGTCACGTCTCATGATGATAGCGTAGCAATGCCGTGCACCCTGAGAAAACACCACTCGCGCTTTGAAATTCCACTCTTGTCATTTTTTTGAAGCCACGCAATTTGCTGCGGTTATGATCGCCATCCCACGCGCGAGTGGGAATCTTGAGAGAGTCGAGCGGCAAGCTGTCGTGTTCTCTCCGTTCCATCCATTCTCCACATTCAGTCTCCCACATTCATTCTCCCACATTCATCCACCCACATTCCCCTCTATTCGTAGGACCGGGAACCCACCGGGATTGGCCGGTTTACTCAACGACTAATCCTCATTCTAGATTTGAAGCTTTCGTGACTGCAAGGATTCATACTCTTAGTTCTTTCGGTAAAGTCACGTAGGTAAAAAATGAAATCAAAATTAATAAAAATAAAAAAACAATAAAATCACCCCAGCCAGCGACTGGGGTGAGGGTCAGGATTTTCTCATTGCCACTGCACGTGGAGATGATTCGTAGCCTCTCAGGCCTCCGAGTTGGCATTCAGCCACTGAACTTATCGCTGCCATGCGCGAGGATATTACACTGGTCAACAACAACAACAAAATTCTGGCCTGGACTTTTGCAGCTGTTTTAGACTAATTTCAGGGTGCTGATTCCAAATCGGCATACCCCATTTTCATTGATTTTACCCGAAATTAACTCTGTCACTTATGATTGCACGTTGTTGCGAGTCAGTGACTGCGTTAGTGTTAAAATATGGTGCTGTATTTTTAGGATAGTGTGTTTATAATATAATTTCATGTAGATATCCACATTTATTTAATATGTTTCTTCTGCAGTTTTTATTGAAAATGCAATATTTGATATATCAAAAACCTGATGTGATAAACAAAAACTGATGCCAGATTTGGAATTAGCACCCCAAAATTACCTTATAAACCCGTTGGAATACCTTATGCCAGAAAAATTGTGTTGACCTGTGTATAATCGTTCCGTGAACCTTGCACCTTGATAACCCCACCGATGTCAAGGACTGCTTTTAACCAGATTGACTCCTTCCTCTTAACCTGTTCTATGTTCGACTGTCCTGTTTCAGGCAATGTCTAATTTCAGTTCGAAACGGTTCTGTAATTTTTTTAAACGAAACATTTTTTTTATTTTACCAGGTAAGGCCCACTAATCAGAAGCGAGCTGGCCACAACTGATCGCTCAACAAAGTGGCTTCTCGTGTGTAAATGTATAGCAGGCAAATATTCTAAACGCACGTTGATTCTAAATGTGCAGGGAAAAACCGGAGGACACGGAAAAAAATCCACGAAACCACGGGGAGAACATGCAAACTCCAAATATATAGCAGGCGTCAGGGTCGGGATCGATTCCCACAACCTCCTGTATACCAACCGAGGTAGTTAGCGTCTCGCCATCGTGGCGTAACTGTGTTAGTCTCACCGCCACATCGATCTCGCCCTACTATGTTTTCCACCGTGATCGTGATGCATCGGTGGTGTCTGCAGCGGTGAGCAAAAACGTGAATTACCAGAAGTCATATTATATAACCATAGGAGGCAATATCAGAGGATTCTTACGGATAAAAAAAAATCACAACAAAAGACGTGTTACGAGATCGAGTAAATAATTTGGTGATGCTGCTCTGTTGGCAGTAGTACCCAAGCACAAATAACAAACAATTAACAAACAGAAGATGCAACACGTTCGTCAATCACACTGTGCCCTTAACACATTCCTCCTGCGGAGGGAGCTGGTAGGAACGTTGGGTTGCTCGGTCAATGGCCAGGGTCAACGGCGGCGTGGTGTATTCCGCAAATATGCCCGACTGTGAAGGTGGGCACAAACTGGCGTGAGTAGGTTAAACGTTGAGTTTTATAAGGGCACCACGGGGTGACCAGCTCCTCCCCACCCAGCCCCACCCCTCCCACCCCCCACCCAGCCCCACCCTCCCCACCCAGCCCCTCCCCACCCTCCCCACCCAGCCCCTCTCCACCCTCCCCTCCCAACCCAGCCCCTCCCCACCCTTCCCTCCCCACTCAGCCCCTCCCTCCTCACCCAGCCCCTCCCT